GGGGGCGGGAGGTGGTGCTTTCCTTCCCGCTCGCTCGGCCCTTCCTGAAGAGCCCGGCAGGATGCAGCCTCCGCCTCCCTCGACTGTGCCTGGGATCCCTCGGGGAGTCACACGGGGTAGGGGCGGGAAGAGAGCAGACTCCACCTGGGATGTTCACTTTGTGACTCTGTAGGTCTTGCTGTCTTGAAAGGACTAGTTTTTTTTTTTAATATTTATTTTTTAGATGTAGATGAACACAACACAATGCCTTTATTTTTATGTGGTGCTGAGGATCGAAACCCGGGTCCCGCCCGTGCTAGGCTGAGCCTCAATCCCAGCACCCCCCCCAAGGGCTAGTTTTACCCCTTGGTACAGGGACAGCTGAGCTTTATTTGGTAGTGGGGTCTGGACCACTAAACCACACCTCCAGCCCTGTATATCTTGAGACAGGGTCTTGGTAAGTGGCTGAGGCTGGCCTTGAACTCCTGATCCTCCAGCCTCAGCCTCCAGTCTTTGGGGTTACAGGCTAGCGCCACCGCGCGGGGCCACACACCAGGACTCTGACCTTTGGGTTGCACAGGTTTTTGCTTTGCTGCTCGGGATGGGACAGGATCAGGGCAATCCGAGGCATCATTCCTATGCTGTCATAACCTGTATCCCCTTCAGGGTGAGTGGGTATCTGACCTTCGTGTACCCTGCTGTTCCCAACCACCTGATTGGTGTCTTACATTCCTGCTAGTGGGCCCCATAGAGGGCTCAAGGCTTTCCACCTGAGAAGATAAACTCGCCTAGGGAGGAGATTTTTACTCCTTTACAGCTGGGGAAACAGGACAGCATGGTGGCTCTCAGTCACACGTTGTGGGAGCCAGCCCTGCACTGTGACTCTAGGTTGCACCCAATGACCGATCCACAGAACCGAGAAGAGATCCAGGAAATCCAGAATTCGAATTTATGTCAAATGCCACCATGGTCAGCTGTCATGGTCATGGAAATCAGGCACCCTGGGTTCAAATGCTCCCTTGATACTTAAGGCCTCTTTGCCTCCTTTCCCTCATCTGTAAAAAACAGTAAGGCTAGGCATGGGGGCACCGTCATACCAGTGAGGCTGAGGCAGGAGGATTGCAAGTTCAAGGCCACCTGCAGCTGGCTGCAGTAGGTAAGGTGGCCCATGCCTGTAATTTCAGGGACTTCATGGCTGAGGCAGGAGGATCACAAGTTCAAAGTTAGCCTCAGCAAGTTAGTGAGACTCTGTCTCTAAATTTAGAAAAAGGTAATCCTCATGATCACAAATGAAAAAATAAGTAAATAAAAAAAGGGCTGGAGGGCTGGAGCTGTGGCCCAGTGGTAGAACGTTTGCCTAGCATGTGTGAGGCCTGGGGTTCATTCCTCAGCACCACATTAATAAAATAAAATAAAGGTATTATGTCCATCTACAACTAAAAAAAAAAAAAAAAAGGGCTGGGGACATGGTAAAGAACCCCTGGGTTCAATCGCCATTACCAAGGGGGGTGGGAAGGAGGTATCTTAAGAGTTACTACAATGATTAAATATTTTTAAGATGCTAGCATAATGCTAGTCCCATGTGAAACTGCTGCTTACCAAGCCTGTACTGGGGCTCTCCGTGGGGCTGGAGCCCCCTTGTACTGTGGTCAGGGGAGACTGAGGCAGACAAGGACACAATCAGGGGCAGTAGAGTAGCTTCTCAAGAATCTGCCCCCACCCCAGGGAGAGGCTGGCACCAGACCCACCTTAGCCCTGCCCAGCCACCCACCCCTGCCGCCCAGAGTGCAGACCCAATCCGTGCCCGGCCTGATGCCATTTTTCCATGGGACTCGGGCGGTGGCGGTTCACATCTGGAGTCTAGACTCGGAGGCTCTGCAGGCTGGGCCTACCGCCCGGGCTGGGCCCCGCTGCCCGCTGTTTGCTCAGCTGAAGCTGGTTAATTGGAATTGGAGTGGCCTCTGCGGTGCCGGCTGGCCGGGCGGCCCTGCCGAGGTCTGTGGAACATCTGGCCAGGCCAGGATGGTCATTAGGTGGCAGGCGCCCGGCGCCATTGCCACCTCAGCCTCCGCCGGGGGCCGGCGGTGACTCAATGAGGCCTTTGTGGGCCTTGGGCCACAGAGCCAACCACGCTGTGTGCCTGGGCTGCCTGCCCCATCTGCCGCCCTCAGAGGGGCTTTGTTCCAGGACCACACGGCCTCCCTCTAGAGGCAGCTGGAATCTGCAGAGATCCAGGAGTCCCTGAAAGGACCCCCTGGCTAGAAGCCTGAGATTTCCTTCCTTTTTCATAGTATCCTGGGCCCAGAGAAGTTGGGTGGCTCGCTCAGAGGGGCCGAGCGTACTAGCTACAGAGACTTGGTCCCAGGGGTCTGGAAAGCAGTGGAACAGTCCTTAGAACTCTCAATTCCCACCTGAATTGATCAAGGCCAAATCCCTGTCTGTGGACAGGCTTCCTCCATTCCCTCACCTGCACACTGGGCTGACAACAGCACCTACAGCCTAAGACTGTGACAATGAGATGCCCGCATCGGTCTCACTTCTGAGGCGTTGGCCACACTTGTCTTTTGGAAGCCCGTTATTTTTAGCCTGTGAACCTGGAGCTTGGGCAAGGGAGAACAATGGCCACAGCTTTCTGTCTCTGTGGCCCCACCCAGCGACCCTTTCCCAGGCACATGGATGAAGGCCGTGTCACTTCTTGCCCAGTCCACTGGGGGCTCTCATGCAGGACAGGGGTTAGGGAAACTCTGGTCCTGGTATTTATAGTTCCTGAGCCTAGATGGCCTAGGAGACACTGAGTCCCTTCTGCACTCCAGCCTCTCTAAAGGACCAGCCTTTGTGTTGTAACTGGCTGCTTTTTTGGGGAAGAACCCAGAATGGGCAGAATGGGAGAGATGGGGCCTTGAACTCCACGGCAGCCTAGAGTGTGGGTCACCAGCTGAAGCCATATGGACGTTGGGTCCACAGGAGCTGGCAGGCTGGCTTTATAACTATTGGTCCCCTTGCCGAGTCAGGTTGGCCTCTGGTTCTTTCCCTACCACTCACCAAGGTGAGTGACTGCCCAGCACCCTTACTGCCCCAAGTATCCAGAAGCAGGTGATGAGGAAAACCTGTGGCTCAGGAGGGCTTGTGGGCCCCCCCTGCTGGCCAGAGGGTGTTCTTGGGGTGCTAAACTGACCCAGCACCTGAGCGGGCACTCAGAAGAGCGCTTGCAGAAGTTTCTGGGTGGGCAGATGAGACTTAGTAAACCCAGGACAAGGCACTGGGTGCATGTGCAGAGGACCCTTACAGAAGCACAGCGTCCACCCTGGCCATGGGATGAGTTTTTAATGTAAGGCAAAGTCAGTCCACAATACAAAAATCTAAAAATCACACCCAGTTTTCCCACCTGGTTCCGGGGGAGGGAGGAAGCTGGGGGTTGGTTTCCTTTGCCTGCAGGGGATGAGGAGAGCAGAGGAGGGCCACAGAAGGGGGGAGAGGAAAACAGAGGCCACAGAGACCTAGCTGGAGGGATCCTGCTGCCCCCGTCCCAGTCCTGGAGCAGTGTCCTGAACCCTCTCCCATGCACGCCTGTCAGCCCATCTCCCTGGCTGGTCTGGCCCTGAGGGGGTCGGGTACCAGTTGCATCATTTCTCCTTCTTCTCTAGTCCCTTCGATGCTGATGCCTCTGTGGCCTCTTTGGATTCTGTCACTGCTGCTGGATCCTTAGGATTTGACTCCTCATAACTGATTAGAAAAAAAGACAATAAAAACACATTCAGCGGAGGCGGAGACAGAACTTTGCTGCCTCCCCACCCTTGCCATCCCAGGAAACCCCTGGGCATATAAGAATCATCAGCTCTGTATCACTGCCCAGTATCTGCCAGTACCTGGCCCCAGCCCCAAGGTGGCCTCCCCAGACTCTGCCTTCTCTGTACCCTCGTGGTACCAAGAGGCAGCAAGAACAGCAGCAAGTAGGAGAGGTTGGGTATGAGCTTAGATGGATCATCTTTAAGCTTCCTGAACCTTCTGCTAAAGAGTGTGTGTATGGGGAAAGACAGCCAACTTGAGCCGATGGGATGGGCTGCCTCTCAGGACGCATGGCAGGAGCCCAACAGCTCAGCTTCAGGGGTGTGAGTGGTGGAGACTGTTTTTGAAGATGGACACCTTGGCTTAACTCTTACTGTGGACTTCACTTACTGAGCAACTGTGTACATGCCAAGGACAATACACACGTTTCCTCACCAGATTAACCTTGTGAGGCAGGAATGTGCCCACTTACAGATGAAGAAAGAAAGGTTCTGAAAGCAGCAGCATCGTGGCTCGGGTTGTGCACACAGTAAGCGGTCACAGTATCCACCACTATCTGACAAGGGCCACCTATGTCCACCCTCTCACATGAGCCCCATAATATTGGTGAATACTCCAAAGTTTTTTTTTTTTTTTTTTTAACATTTATTTATTTTTTCTTAGTTCTTGGCGGACACAACATCTTTGTTGGTATGTGGTGCTGCTGAGGATCAAACCCGGGCCGCACGCATGCTAGGCGAGCGCGCTACCACTTGAGCCACATCCCCAGCCCCAAATACTCCAAAGTTCTGGGGCTCCCTGCTCCCCAAAGGGCTTGGTGTGCAGAGTGCTGGTGGCCATGGAGAGCTAGAGTGTATGCCCTACCTTGGGCCCGGGGCAGTGGGGGGAGCGGGCAGGTGGGCACCCGCTGGGCATTACATGGCGCTGGGATTCTGCTGGCGCCGGCGACGAGAGCCAGCTAGCTTCTGCTGCATGGAGTCGGCCAGGCTGGCAGGGGAGCCCGAGACCGTGGGGAAGTGGGTGAGCCTCGGGGTATGAGGCAGGATTTCCGCAGAGGACTCGTAGCTGTGTGAGAGACAGAGACAGAGAGAGAGAGAGAACAAGAGATGGAGAGGGAAAGACTCAGGGAGACAGACTGCGTTTCCAAGGGGCAAGGAGCACAACCATTTTATTTTTATCTTGCTCTGCACTTTCAGACTTTGTGAAAAGAGGCCAGTTTTACTTGGAGAACAAGGACAGGTGTACCTCTACAAGGACAGGTGCTCACTCAGCTGAGCAGAAGAGCAAGAATGCCCTGGTTGTGCCATGTGCTGCTGCCGAGGTCTGTCTCAGATAAAAACCAAGGCTGGCAGTGTCGCTGGGTATGCTTAGCATGTGTGAGGCTTGAACCCCAGCACCAGGAAACCACAAAAACACATGTGCAAAAAAATCAAGACACAGAATGCCACCATCATCGAGACATATTTGCATCTCAGATCACAGGTGTTTCTGAATGTACTCGAGAGCTGGCCTCTGGTGGCTGGGGCACGAGGATGTTCTCCCTCTCATAGCCATGGAATTCTGAACCATGTTTAAACCAAATTTTGAAACAATTTAAAAATAAATGAGCCAGGTGACATGGCCCATGCTATAATCCCAGCTACTTGGGATGCTAGGGCAGGGGGATCGCTAAGTTTGAGGCCAGCCTCAGCTACTTAGCAAGATCCTGTCTCAAAGGACTGGGAATGTAGCTTGGTGGTGAAACAGCCTGAGTGATCCCCAGTACGACCACCGCCACACACATGGGGGGGAAAAAAAGAACAATAATAATAAAAGAAAAAAATAAAGCAAAAAGTGCAAAGTCAGGGGGAGAGAGGAAAGGACATAAAAAGAGAGCAGGGCTGGGGTGTGGCTCAGCGGAAGGTCTAGCAGCGCAGGGCCCTGGGTTCAACCCCCAGCACCACAGAAAAAAGAAAAAGAAGAGAAGAAGAGAGGAGAGGACAGGATGGAGAGAGAGAAAGACCCCCTGTCTTTCACCTTTCCCCAAGGACCTCCTGGGTGAGTGGGGGCAGAGGTGGGGCAGGCTGCCTGGACACCAGAGCATTGAGGAACACAAAGGGAGGTACCTCCTGGCCTGGCTGGGCAGAGTTCTGGCTGCTGAGAGCCTAACAGGACTGAGCTAGGGAGGTGACCCCAGGGGGTGGGGTGGTAGGGCCTGAAGCTGGATGAGTGAGATGCTGAACTCGGGGATCAGGTGCCATGCCTCATCCCAAAGGTTCCCCAAATCTGTCCTCAAGTTCATTTCCCCACCCAACTTGCCTCAGAGATCACAGGGCTTTGCCAGGCCAGGAGGATATGCATGCAGGCTGGGAGCTGGGATTCCAGGCAGGACAGGGAGGGCAGAGGCAGGTACGGGGGAGGGGTGAGTCACAGGCTGCCCTGCGGGCAGCCAGGTGCACAGGAAGCCCTGGCAGGCACTTGAGGGGCAACTTGGAGACCAGGCAGGTGGAGCTGGGTGGAAGCCCCCGAGTGGGCAGCTTAATCACAGCTGGCAGCTATTTCTAGGTCCCTGGCAGGTGGGGTCGGTGGTGCTAGGGAGTGGACACCTGCTGGAGTCACGCAGGCCTTGGGGTAGGGGGTGGGGCTGTGCATGAGGTGTGGCAAATGTGGATGTGGCCCTGGGGAAGGGGTATGTGAGTGAGACAGGCTTAGATGGGGAGCGAGCAGTGAGCTGTGCAGTGAAGGCCATGGAGGCGGCTAACAGGGACCAACACCTGACTCTGAACAGAGGGCACTTTCTCCCACACATCCCGTCTCACTGCTCACGTGTGAAAACTGATGCTGGGGGAGGAGAAAGACACTCTTCAAGTCATCAGATGGCAGAGCCAGGCTGAGAACCCGGGACTCTGGGCTGTGGTTGGGGAGAAACCCACACTAATGTTCCCTTCTTAAGACCAGCTGCCATGAGGCCACGAGGCCTCATCCTCCTAGGCTCCTGGCCCAGGCAAAGGCTTCCACTGGTGTCCACAGCCATAGCTCAGGTGCTGGAAGACAGTGAGAGGTGGAGCAGGTGGAGAGGGAACAGTGGTCTCTGGAGATGTGCACCGCCGCCACCTGAAGGTGCACCTGGGTCCAAGTGAATGTCTGCCCCACCCAGCCTTACCTGAACATTTCTGTCACTTCTCCTTTGACCAGCGCCACCAGGACGGGAAAGCCAATGCAGGCAGGTACCAGGTACAGGAGAGCAGGCTGTGAGAGAGAGGCTGGTCAGGCAGTGCTGGGCAGGGCACCTGTTCAGGGCTATGCCCCGCACCCCAACCCTCTCCTGGGCTTAACTATGGGATAGGCAGTGGTTGGACCTGAACCCAGGGTTCCTAGACTCCTAGACCAGAGCTGATCCTCACTTGGAGGGATTGCAGCAAACACAGACACTCAAGGACACAGGGCTTCAAGGGGTCCTGGGAGTCTGGCTGGCAGTGTGAACCACTCAGACACCAGATTCCAAACTGCAGCTGCCCGGGCACTCTCATTCTCAGAGGCCTTGCTGCCCAGGCTTAGGGTAGGTGGCTCGAATTGCAGCAAATGCTCTGGGGGATGCTTCTGTAATGGGGACGATGATGACATAGCCGCTATGCTTTCGGAGTTTGCTGCAGCTTGTGTGAAGGTGACCCAGCGGTCACTGGCTCCCCAGGATTTACCCCCAGGCAATCTGGCCCCAAAAGTCTGTGCTGAGATTCCTGGTAAAGCTGGCTTAAGAGAAAGGACAAGTATACTAAGAGCCCCTCAGGGCATCCTCATGCCCAGTGAAGGCCCTCAGCTGACCACCCTGGCATGTCTCAGCCCATCTCTACAGCCCAGACATGCCGGCTGTTCCCTTGCAGCACCTGAAAGGTAAACATGGATCCACAGTTCACCCTTCCCTAGTGCTGGCCAGGTGTGAAGGCCCCAGGAAATGCGGCTCTTGCTTCCTTTTCCACCCTCACTTGACCTTGCCTGCTCTGGCCAGTCCCAGGACCTTTGTGTGTACTGTCTCTGTGGCTTGGAGGTTGTTTCCGCCTTTGTCCAGGTCCTTCTTCCTTCAGCCCTCAGCTGACAGTACCTCTCCTCCCTGGGAGCGTGCACTCACAAGGGAACAGGTCTCCTTAATGCGTGCTCCCAGAGCCCTCTAACTCTCACCCTTAGGGCATTTCCTGGTCAATCTATGGTCCTGGGCCCTTGCTGACTGGTGTCTCCTCCCCTGAGGGACTGTGGCCTGGGTCAGTGCCGGCCCAGCTGTCTTGTTCATGCCGCATTAACAATCAGCCAATCAGGGCCTGATAAATACTAGTGACCGGCTTCTTCATGGGTGTTCATGAAGTTAGGGTGTCTCGGAGATACCATCCTTGGTGCAGAGCAGCCGGCAGTCAGGGAACACAGGGCTCTCTCTTCCCTTTGCACAGTCAGATCTTCAGATCATTTCTTGGCACCTGCCCAGGTGGGTTGTGAACCACATCTTATGGAGATTATCCTTGAATCTATTAAAACCCTAAGTATTAGGATCTGGTTTTTACAGATGATGTTACTGAAGCTCAGGAGGAAATGACCTGCCCAAAGGTCATATAGATGTGTTAGCTGGGATTTGACTCTGGACAGCTGTGCTTCTTCCACTGGCATTAGATCTTTGCTGTGTACTAGATTTCGAGCCAAGAGTAATAAACAAAAACCAAAACAAAACAATAACAAAATGACAAAGGTCCATATTAAAATCTGTAAGAAGAGCTGGGGCTGTAGCTCAGTGAGAGAGCGCTTGCCTCGCGTGTGTGAGGCACTGGGCTCCATCCTGAGCACTACATAAAAATAGAATAAAGGTATTGTGTCCATCTACAACTTAAACAAACAAACAAACCACACGACTGTAAGAAACAGCCAAGTGGTACACAAGAGAAAGATTTATGCTGGCGTAGCAGCACACACCTGTAATCCCAGTAGCTCAGGAGGCTGAGGCAGGAGGATTTTGAGTTCAAAGCCAGCCTCAGCAATTAGCAAGACTAATTGAAGGACCGATTCAAAATCACAGTTGAGGGCTGGGGTTGTGGCTCAGTGGTAAAGCACTTGCCTGGCATGTGTGAGGCCCTGGGTTCAATCCTCAGCACTGCATATAAATAAATAAGTAAATAATCAATTTACAACTAAAAATCATTAAAAAAAAAAAATCACAGTTGGCCAGGATTTGGACCTAGGTTCCTCTGCCTCTAAGACCAGTGTGTTCTATTCACCAAAGCCAGACTGGGCAGAGAAGGTTTCTAGGGCAAGGAGGTAGAAAGTTGGCTCTTCCCTTGCAGGCAGCTTCACCTGGGAACTGGCAGTCACTGAGAGGTTTCAGGGGCCAATGGGAAGGGCTCCTTTAGGAAGCAGTAGGTTCACTATTATCAGAGGGATACAGTCTGTATTATTTATTTTCCTCTCAAGGATCCAGGGAACTTCACCAGTCAGTGCCAAGGAGAAGATGGGCTGTACAGCTCAGGGCAAAGAGCTAGGACAGGCTCCTGGCTTTCCACTGGCTTTGCTATGTCACCATGGCTAAACTGCTTCCTTTTCTGGGCTTGTCTCTCCCTCTGCACAATAACATTAGACTCAAACATATCCACAGGCCTTCCTGAGGAGGCTGCTGGCTTTCTGGCTTGAAGCAGGATTCTGAAAGAGGATAAGCTGAACTTCTCATAGAGGACACCCAAGTGATTCCTTGCTAGAGCAATGCTGGCACCAGGACTACCTGTGTCTTAGAGAGGGGAGGCTTCATGGAACAAGTTCTCCTGGTGTCCTTGATGCCCTTCCCAAGAAGCATTTTAAGGGTGATGCCTACGTGGATGATTGGGCAAAAGGGCTGAGCAGCAGCTGGAGTATAGCACAGGTCTGGGGCCAGGGACCAGAGTCTAGGGCTTTGTAGGGGCCCAGCTCAACTTGCTGTGTGACTTGGGGAAGTCTCCCTTCCTCCTAGGGTTGCAATTTCCCCACAAAGGAGAGGACCATCTCTTACTCCTGCTCCCTACATGTGTGAGAGCTTGGAATGGATCCTTCTTTGAGTCAAGACAGCCAGAAGGCAAGCCTGCCACCTGGTGGCTGCCAAGGGAATAGTTCTGACGCTAGGAACTGGAGCAGAGACCTCCAAAAGGCCTTTGAACTAGTCACCCAACCCAGATCTACTCACTCTGTGATCCCCTTGCCAAGTGCATGTCATTCTAAGTTGGCCCCTGAGGACATATGGAGCAGAAATGAGTGCAAGGTGGTTCTGCAAGGGTTCTTGGTATCTTCACCTATGGGCTAAGGGACTTCTTTAAGGGTTTAGCAGAGTGCCTGACAGTGATCAATAAAAAGCTTCTGTAGTAATTCAAAGGCAGTTTTTCTGTGGCTGAGTCATGGGGAGGGGGAAAAGGAAAGGCAACAGTAGTACAGTAGTACCCACCCCCATGCCCTATTGTGAATGCCTGAAAGCGTGGGTAACACTGAACCCTGTCTGAAACCCCGATGGCTAGTGACTAATGGGTGGGTGGTGCATACAATGTGCATACATCCCTTAAAAAAGAGATGGTTCTTCTGGGATGGTGAGAGATTTCATCATGATACTCAGAACTGCATGCAATTTAAAACTTAATATAAGTTATTTTTATAATTTTTCATTTAATGTTTTTGAGCTCTGGGTATCTGAAACCACAGCAAAAGTCTGTAGGAGGGTGAGGGGAGACTACTGTGATGACAGCTGATGTTAACTGGTCCAGATGTCTCTAGGGAGTTCAATTATATGAACTCATCCTCAAACCACTCCAAGGTGGCTATTTATCTATCTTTTCTGGTTTTATGAATGAATGAGGAAAACCAAGCATAACAGCCAACCTGCCCACAATCTCAAGAGTCGACTGTCTGGATTCCTAGCAGAGCTCCCTTAGCCTGTTGCGCACCGCCTTTCCTACAGCCAGGGCAGAGCCTGGGCATGCAAGTCGATCCAGGCTTGAATCCTGGCTCCACTACACATATACTCAGTGCGGTACCTGAGCTCTAGTTTCTCATCTATTCTTAGGGGACCCTCATGAGCTCAGAGCCTGCAATGTGGGATGCCAAACAAATACGAGCTCCTCTTGTTGCCAACAGAGAGGAGGCGATCACGTATTCTGTTTCCTTCCTAGTCCTCGTGCTATGCTGCTTCACTCTGGTGGAAGGAGGACAAAGAGCCTTGGCTAACTTGGGAAGGAGCTGGAAGGGAAGCCTCAGCACCTTACATCTCATCTGTGTGGACACCAGAATGGACACCCAACACCCACCCATCCTGGCCTCCACTACACAGCTCCGTCTGCCTCCACTACACAGCTTCAGAAGCACAGTCCTCTTCCCCACATGTTCCTGCTCCCAGGGTGGCCGTGTGATACTGATCTAAATGGCCTTTGAGAAGTGAGCAGAAAGTTGCTGATAGGGCTGTGGGAAAGTTCCCGCGCTCCTGACGATGTGGGCAGTATGACTGCTAGGCCTTCTCTTCTTCCTTGCCCCTGGAGTGTTGCCTGGAGCATGGCAGCTACCTTGCAACCACCAGAGAAAGGTCAAGAGAATCACAAACGGGATTGCTGATACCACTGGCAGTACCTGCCTCTGGACCGCTTGCACCTATGACAGATAAGCCCTCTGTAAGTCCTACTCACCTGGGCGTGCTTGAAGATGTGCATGATGAAGATGGTGAGGCCCAGGCCGAAGATGTAGGCTGCGAAGCTGGTGTAGAAGTAGGTATGGGTGTTCTTCTTCAAGCTTCCAGGAAGGCATGGGAAGAAAGAGGGAGTTAGTGCAGGAACTGGAGTGGCAGTAACTCTTCCAAGGAGGGAGCTGGGGGAGACCCTGTAAGTTGTGGGGCTGGCAGAGCTCCGTGCTGCACTCACTACTGCCCCCAGCTACGTATCTTTGAACAAGTCACATTCTTTCTCTCAGTCTCTGTTTACTTATCTGCAAAATAGAAAAACCATGAGCCTGTCTCCTTGGTGTTGTGAGTATCAAATAAAAGAACTCTGAACAGTGGCTGTAAGTTTAGTCAGCATAAAAAATCATCTAGAAAGCTGTGAAGGAAGGGAAAAAAAAGTAGGGCTCTAGATCCAGTCTCCAGGGAGGGTGACCTTTTTTTGGGTACTAGGATTTAACCCAGGGGTGCCTTATCACTGAGCTACATCCCTAGTCCTTTTTTTTTTGGTCGTTGTTGACAGACCTTTATTATTTATTTATTTATATGTGTGCTGAGAATCGAACCCAGCACCTCACTCATGTTAGGCAAGTACGCTACCACTGAGCCACAACCCCAGCTGCATCCCTAGTCCTTTTAAAAATTTGAGACAGGGTCTGGCTAAATTGTGGAGGCTGGTCTTGAATTTCCAGTCCTTGAGCCCACAGCCCCCTCAGCTGTTGGGATTACAGGGGTCTGCTGCCACACCCAGCAGGGAGGGTGATCTGATGAGCTTAGGGCGAGGCACAGGACCTACATTTTGAAAACAACCCAGGTGAATCTGATACAAGTGGATCCTTTTAATTTGGGGGGGTAGGTAGTGCTTGGGATTAAGCCAAGGGTCACACTCATGCTAGGCAGCCACTCTCCCACCAAGCTACATCCCGAGTTCAAGCTTTGAGAAATAATAAGACAAACTTTACAGGCAAGTTATTGCTTTTCAGTGTAGTGTATGCTACGGTTCAGCAACCTTTTTGTGGGTGCTAAACAGATGCTGGCTGCATGCCAGTGGCTTCCTGGAGGTGATTCATCCAAGGTTCCCTTCAGAACACACGAGTCATATTCAACCTGGCATTGCCATTACCTGACTTCCCTTTACAATGCCAGCTACATAACCTCTGTGTGTCCTCAGCTCCTGGAACAGTGCCCACCAAGTACTAGAGGCTCAGGTTAACATCTGTGGAATGAATGGATACTTCTGACTCCCCTCTCCTTGCCCTAGTTGCTTCTAAAGTCTTGAGCTACAAGTACACTGACACGATCCTGTTATGAGCGATGGGGTACAAGTGACTCCCTTTGGGAACACCGCACTGATTCTGGAACCACTCTGAGGGGCTTGCTTACCCTGAGGGCTCATGGTGGGAAGGAATTCTGCCTTTGAGGGTGTTGGCAGCTGAATGTGTCTGCAGCAAATGAGCCAAGGGACTTCTGTGGGTTTCTCTTTGTCTTAACTCAGAACAGCCAGGAATAGAACTGGCTGGTCCAGATGCACTTCTACTTACCACCTGGCCAGAGCCCTTCAAAGGCTGGCTGTCAGCCTGTGTGTTTCAGAGGCCCACTCAAACTGAATTTTCTTTCTTTTAGTATCAAGGATTGAACCCAGGGGCACTCAACCACTGAGCCACATCGCCAGCCCATTTTTATATTTTAATTAATATCACTAAGTTGCTGAGGCTGGCTTTGAATTCACAATCCTCCTGCCTCAGCCTCCCGAGCTGTGAGATTATAGGCGTGTCCCATTGCACCTGGCCTCTGAATAGAATTTCAATGATGCTAGCATTGAAATTGTCATTACCGCTGTCAACACTAGTACTGTGTTTTTGTGTTTTTGCAATTACTAGGTGTGAGGAGATGAAAAATTCACAAACTACCTCAAAATTGAGTGCATACACATAGGCCCTCGCTGGGAGGATTGAGCATAAAATGACGGCGCAGTCACATGTACCTACTGCTGGCAAGAGGCCCAGCTACCCAGGTGATTTTGCTCCAACATGACCTTTTGTTTTAGGTGGTGACCCAGGTTGCCCCTTTTCTCTTGTGTTTTATTTTTCTTTTTCTCCTTGATATTAGGAATAAAACCCAAGGGCGCTCTACCACTGAGCTACATCCCCAGCCGTTTTTATGTTAAGGAAGGGTCTTAAGTTGCTGAGATGGGCCCTGAACTTGCAATGCTCTTGCCTTGGCTTCCTGAGTTGCTGTTATTACAGGCGGCACCACTGAGCCTAGCCCATGTGTTCACTTTCTACCTTACACTGAAAAGAATCTCAGTAAGCAGAGGGCAAGGAACACCTTCAGCAGCTGGGACATGACGACCTGACCCCAGGCTGATAAATGAGGCTGAGGACAATGATTGACCATAGCTGACCTCCCCCAGAGCCACCGAGGTCATCCTGTGCCTAGCACTCCCCTCTCCATTATCAGGGTAATTTTAAGGTAGATACTCGTTTTTCACTCACTTAAGGATAAGAAACCTGAGGCTCATAAAGGTCAGGCCACTTGCCAAGGGCACACAGTGAGAAAGCACTACAAGTACCACCAGGTCTCTTGGCTTATGATTCTCAACTTAAAAACAAAGCAAAGTGAACAAAAAACTTTTGGCCGTGGGCTCTTGGCATGCTTACAACTTCGGAATGTAGATGAAATCGGAACTGCTTTGGCTGCTGTGGGGGTGGAGGGTCTGGTCCCCTCAGGTCCCTCCTCAGGGCTCTGGAAAGCCGCTGGAGAATCCTGGGAGAACCCTAGTGCACAGCAGGCCCTCCCGCGCTTACCTGATGTCAAAACGCAGCAGCAAGGCAATGAAGATTCCTGCGGGAGAGAGCCAGAGTTAGAGGGGAGCATGGGTGGAGGCTGCGAGCTAACAGGAGACTGGGCTTGGTCCCCAACCTGGAATTCCCAGTCATGGAGCAATTACTGGGGGTCAAATGTATGGTTGATGCTATAAGTGCCAATGGAAATTCCATTTTTCAACCTAGAACAATAAGTCAAGTCCTGGGATTTTGCTTTGGCCCGGGATTACAATGACTGGGCATCTCACAGCACCAAACTATGTCACACTGGGTCTCTTGTCCCAATGTTTACTGACCACCTATTAAGCACCAGGCACAATGGCTAAGCTCTCAGAGTTCAGCCAAAGGAGCAGAGGGGAGACATGCTGTAACATACTTCAAATAGTGACAAAAGTTAGTGTGGCTTCTGTGAATGGGTGCTTCCTGTGTCACGGGGAGATGTGCTGTGATGAACCCAGCCTGCTGGTAGAAGAGGGGGATAAAGGAGGGCTTCTTGGAAGTGACCCTTCAGGAGAGGAGATTGTGTGTGTGCAGACCCCAGGAAAGAGGGCTTGGCAGGGGAGTGGGTAGGGACTGGAGGGCCAGTAAGGCTGGCAGCAGATGCAGGCTTGGGCTAGCCGTGCAAGGCATCAGGCTATGGGGATGAGCCAGGTCTACACCCTGAGCAGGAGACACACTAAAAGAGTTCTAGGGAGGAGAAAAATCTAAAACAGATTTTGAGAAAGACTCCTGTGCAGCTGCCTGGCAGGAAGCGGGAGAGGGGAGTAGGAAGCTGACAATCAGGAGGCTCTGCAGAGCTCAGGAGAGGAGGGCAGTTCTGCCCATCCTCCGCATTCCTACTCACTCTTCAAAACCACACTCCCACCCACAGGCCGCTAAGTCCCTGAGACATGGTCAGCTGCTCCAGCCATTATACTCACACACACAGCAACATCTGTGTGTGTGAGTGTAATAAAATAAAAAATAAAAAGGGCTGGGGATATTATTCAGTGGTTAAGCCCCCAAGGCTTCAATCTCTAGTATCCATGAATAAAGAAATGAAAGAGGGAAATAAGTCATTCCGCAGTGAAGCCTCTGTGAGGAGGAAGGTGGTGGACAGAGACCAATGCTGCTTTCTGAAAAGAGGCAACACTCTGCGCCTCCTGGTGGCAGAACTCTACAAAAGTCTCCTGTGTAACAGAGGGTCCAGAGCTCTGGGCTAGGGTTTTGTTTTTTTTTTTTAATACTGGGGATTGAATGCAGGGGTACTTTACCACCAAGCTACATCTCCAGCCCTTTAAAATTTATTTATTTACTTTACGTGTTCTAAATAAATACATGAGAGCAGAATGCATTTAAATATTTTTTTTAAAAAATATTTGTTAGTTGTCAATGGAATCTTATTTTATTTCTTCTTTAAAAAATTATTTTATTTTTTAGTTTTAGGTACTTTATTTTTATTTTTATGTGGTGCTGAGAATCAAACCCAGTACCTCACGCATACCAGGTGAGCACACTACTACTTGAGCCACATCCCCAGCCCCATTATTTTCTTTATTTATTGATATGTGGTGCTAAGGATCAAACCCAGTTCCTCACATAGGCTAGGCAAATGCTCTACCACTGAACTACAACCCCAGCACAGTAGAATGCATTTTGACACATCATACATAAATGGAGCATAACTTCTCTTTCATCTGGCTGTGCATGATGTAGAGTTACACAGGTCATGTAATCATATATGCACATAGGGTAACAATGTCCATTCATTCTACTATCTCCTTCCTACACCCATGCCCCCTCCTCTCTATACACTCCCTTCTGTCTAGTGCAAAATACTTCCATTATCCTCATCCCCTCATTGTGCCCATTTTTTTTTTTTTTTAAATTTGAGACAGCATCTCAGAAAGTTGCTTAGGGCCTTGCTTATTTGTTGAGGTTGGCCTTGAACTTGCAATTCTCTTGTTTGACCTCCTGAGTCACTGGGCTTACACAGAGAGTGGAACTTTGATTCCTAAAGTCCATCTGGTCTTCAAAACAAGGCTCCCCTCGGACTGTGAGGGCGTGATCAAGTTACATTTATTGTGGCTGCTGAAAGATTGTAGATATATATGGATTTGGGAGGGACAGACACGCAGATATCCTGTGCTTGCCTTAAACCCAGGACTGTGACCAACAAGGACACTGGAGAATTCTGTGGGGGGGGGCCTGTGACAGATCATCCTCTGGTGAGTCAAATGGTTCAATGGATGGCATTTCTTCTGTCTGGTGGAGTGGCTTTCTCCGGGTTATGGGGGAAGCCAGTCACCCCTCCTCATAGCACTGCAAATTGCAGAAATCCTTGAGTTCCAGCCCACACCCTCAGACCCTCATGGCCATGGCAGGTGGAACCAACTCTCTGAACTTTAGTTTTCCTGTCTGTACAATGGACCCTCTACCTCATGGAGCTGCCAGGAGCAGTGAAGACAACAGACAGATAGCACCTGCCTCAGTGCTCGATGCATAGCAGGTGCTTGACAATTGGCAGCTGTCATGATTATTCTATAGTTATTGTTATTACTATCAAAAGTACAGTTTTGCGGGGCTGAGGTTGTGGCTCAGTGGTTGAGCGCTTGCCTAGGATGTGCAAGGCCCTGGGTTCCATCCTCAGCGCCACATAGAAATAAATAAAATAGGGGCTGGGGATGTGGCTCAAGCGGTAGCACGCTCGCCTGGCATGCGTGCGGCCCGGGTTAGATCCTCAGCACCACATACAGACAAAGATGTTGTGTCCGCCAAATACTAAAAAATAAATATTAAAATTCTCTCAAAAAAAAAAAATAAAATAAAGGTATTGTGTCCAACAGCAACTAAAAATAATTAAAAAAATAAAAAGTACAGTGCCGTGGCTCCGTGGCAGAGTGCTTGCCAGGCGTGTGTGAGGCACTGGGTTCCATCCTCAGCACCACATACAAAAATAAGCAAATACAATAAAGTCATGCTGTCCATCTACAACTAAAAGAAAAAAAAAATTAAAAAAAAAAAAAAAAGTACAGTTCCAATGGTAAACTTTTTTTTTTGGGGGGTGTATTATAATTTTATTTTATTTTTGGTTCCAGGGATTGAACCCTGGGGTGCTTAACCACTGAACCACATCCCCAGGTTAGTCATTCATATATATATACATATGAGTGTGTGTGTGTACACACATGTATACACACACACATACACACACACACACACACACACACACACACACACTTTTTTCCCCTGGGGATTGAACCCAGGGCTCTGTGCATGTAAGGCAAGCACTCTAATAACTGAACTATATCCTCAGCCCTATATTTTATTCTGATACAGCATCTGCTGAGTTTTTAGGGCCTTGATAAGTTGCTAAGGCTGGCTTTGAACTTGAGATCCTCCTGCCTCAGCCTCGAGTGCTGCTGGGATTACAGGCGTGCGCCACTATGCCCAGCTGGTGCATTATAATTATAGACATCAGTGAGACTCATTGTTACATATCTATACATGCTCATGATTTAACGATATAATTTGGCCAATACTGTTCCCAGTATTTCCCCTCATCCTACCTAAGAGGAAGGGTTCCCTTCCTCTTACTCTACAGGTCTTTTTATAACAATCAACCCCCATCTTTCTTTTTCTTTATCCTCTCTAACTTCCATATGAGAGAAAACCTGATTTTTGACTTTTTGAGTTTGGCTTACAAACATGTTAATTTCTAACAGTCCCTTCATTTCTGAGTGTGTTTCCTCACTGGTGAAACAGGGCAAGCCTCTGCTTCACATATCTTTCATGAGATGAAAGAATTGTAAACAGAATTACATACCACATCCTTAGTTATTAGAACTGTTATTACTTCCTACAACGGGAAAGAAGTTGGCTTTTTATTTGTTCCATGTGTTCTTTTTAGCTGGCTTCCAATCCTCTGACTTCTGACCCTCTTCAGTTCTGAACCTGATACTAGGGAAACCAGTAAGGCCACTGGTGCTCACTCTGCTGTCACTCAGCCCAGGTCTGTAGACAAACTGCCTCCAGAGATCAGCGCCTTCAGCAGTCCCGAGTGGGAGTGTGGCTCTGGCCTGGGAATTTGGGATGCTGGTGCCCCAGGGTGAGGCAAGCTGATGATGTGAGGGATGCATGTCTGTGCTTGGAACTGTGGACAAGGCCCCTATGTCATATCCCATGGGAACACTGACCAGCACCCACATGTAGAGAGAGACAGGGCTCAAACGCTAGTTTGTACAACGAAGTACATCTCTATGCATGCAGGTGCTCTCCCTGAGGCTTCTCAGAACAGGGGATGGGGAGCAAGGAGACTTTGACAGTTTTAGGACATCTGTAATCCTTGGAAATACTGGGACTGTATATGCACAAGAGGGTCAGGTTCTTTTAAGATTGTCATAGGATGGGCTTTTTCCCAGAGTGTATCTTAATCTGTATTAGTCTTTCATTGTACATTTATTCTTTTTTCTTGGCAGTACTGGAATGGGACTGAACCAAGGGGTTATACATGTTAGGAAAGTGCTCTACCATTGAGCTCATCCCCAGTCTTATTTTGGTAGTTCTTGAGTTATCAACTGGACCAGAGCTCCATGGGGATAGCATTTCTCTCTTTTAATTTTATACTAGGGACTGAACTGAGAGGTGCTTTATCACCACTGAGCCACACCCCAGTCCTTTTCATTTTTTATTTTGAGACAGGGCTGCTTAGAGCCTTGCTAAGTTGCAGAAGCTGGCCTCAAACTTGTGATCCTCCTGCCTAAGCCTCCAGAGTTGCTGGGATTACAGGTGTGCACCGTTGTGTTTGGCCCTCTATAAGGACATTTTTGCTTGCTGTTGTCTGCCCAGGGCTCTGCTCAGGGCCTGGCACATGACTCATACTCCAAAATGTGTGCTGAGGTGGGATCCTTCATTAAACCCTGGGCTGACCTTTTTCTCACTCCCTTTCCCAAAGAGTACAGCTGTGTTTCACAGTACTCCTCCTTGTTCTAGAGAACCCTTGCACCACAGCCCACGGCCCAGAAGTCACCTGGAATGACGATATCTCCGAGTCCCAGCATAGCAAAGTTGTCTGCTTCAAGGCCCTTCTCCAGCAGGTCCTGGGGAAACACCACTGCAGGGAGAGACGGGGGAAGAGTTGGCTGGAGCCCAGCTTACCCAGACTCCCCGCCCCCACCCCTGCTGTATGAAATGCACACATCTGTGTTTCTCGGGGCAGGGGGCTGATGATTGCAGGCCTGCTGGCAACAGTTCCATCTGGAATCACAGCTGGTTAAAGTGTGGAGAAATCTGGGGTCAACTAGGCTGAGGATTTAATGCCTTTGTTGACCACACAGTTCTGACATCCATAGGTTTTCCATCTGACAATAGGAGTGTGGACAGATGGCGGTACTTGTTCTGAAGCAGTGTGAACCTGGGCTATGGACTCTTTATGTACCAAGGGAGAAAAGGCCATGCCACTGCAAATTCCTTGATTAATGTCCCTTACTCAGAATCCTGCTGCAGTTGTTAGCAGGGAAGTGGTTACAAGGGGCTTTAGGACCGGCGCCTGGCTCTGCTGTCTTGTTGCACAGGTTACTCGGCTGCCTTAGTTTTCTTACTTGGAAGCACTCCCACAGGGTGGTGCTGAGGGTTAGATAACCTGAACCACAGTACTGGCTGCTATGCCATGTCTTCTACTAACCCATCCCCGATTTTGTATCTTCCTGGTGGTGGTTTGAATGTGGTGTATGACTATGCCAAAGAGAACAATCCTGTTTCCAGAATTCCTGCCTTTCTTTGTGTCTAGGGGTATTTACAAGACTCAGCTCTGGGCAACACTATGCACAAAGAGGTGCCCTGGGGCTCGTGCTAAAATGCAGAGATATCCCCTGCCTGTCTATGTCTCCCTCATTGAATGGGACTCAAACCCATTTAGTATGACTTCATCATATGTGCTGTTTTTTTTTTTTTTGGTACCAAGACATGACCACTGAGCTACATTGCCAGTCCTATTTTGTATTTTATTTTATTTTTGGTGCTGGAGATTGGACCTGGGGTGCTTAACCACTAAGCCACATCCCCAGCCCTTTTTAAATATTTTATTTGGAGACAGTGTCTCACTGAATTGCTTAGGGCCTCACTAAGTTGCTGAGGTTAGCTTTGAACTACCAATCCTCCTGCTTCAGTCTCCCGAGCCTCTGGGATTACAGGCATGTACCACTGCGCTGGGCTTTTGTATTCTATTTAGAGACAGGGTCTCATCGAGTTGCTTAGCACCTCGTCATTGCTGAGGCTGGCTTTGATTTTCTTGCCTCAGCCTCCCAAGCAGCACCACCTTCCCGGTAGTATGGGTGCTTTGCTATTGTTGTTGAAGGTTGGGTCTTGCTGTGTTGCTCATGCTGGCCCTGAACTCTTGGGCTAATGTGACTTTCCTGTTTCAGCCTCTGTAATAGTTGGTACTACAGGTGCTATCATGCTTGACCAGCATCTGTGCTCTTAATCATTCAGCTCTTGAGCCTCACTTCTAGAAGACAAGATCTAGGCCAGGTGCAGTGGTACATGCTTATAATTCCAGCTATTTAGGAAGCTAAGGCAGGAGCATTGTTAAGTTCAAGGCTGGCCTGGTAAACTCAGCAAGACCCTGTCTCAAAATAAAAAATAAAAAGGGTTTGGATGAAGCTCAGTGGTAAAGTACCTCTGGGTTTGATTCCCAGTACTGCAAAAACAAACCAACCAACAAACTTTAAGACAACAGATCTCCCCAACCTAGAAAGTCAGATTCCAAGCACCAGAAACTAAATATGAAAGTGTCACTTCCCTGTTCAGAGCCTTACAATGGCTCGTCCACTGCTTAATGGGCAGTGTCAAGTTCTTAGGCAGGAAATCTTGGCTTCTCCAAATCTGGCCTGTCTCCCTCTTTCCAGTCCCTTCCTTGCGGCCCTGCTGAACTCAGCTGCACTTCTCTGTGCCTCTGTAGTTCTTTGCTCCCAGGGTGTCCCATGCGTTTTCCTGCTTCTAGCCCTTTGCCGAAGTGGTAGACTCTTCTCAAATACTCATGCTATCCTTGAATCCTTGGTAAATGAGCATTTCTTCTTTGTGACCCGGAAAGGTGCTCCTGACATCCTGGCTGGGATCGCCAGGCTTCCCTATCCCTGGGCTCACCCATCGTAGCTTGTGGGGCATGAATTTCATGTGGTTTGCCTAGTATCTGTGTCCTTACTTTAGAGAACAGTTCTCCCTTCCCTGATAAACTTAGTTCTGGAGGTGGCCAAGTCATACTCTGACTCCTGGCCTTGGAGAGGACAGTAAACCAGGCCTGGGGAATGTTGACCACCTTCCTGATACTATCTTCTCCTTCCTTACTATCTTGTCTGACTGGTTCTGGCCCCCTTTGAGCCTCGTGACCCTGGAGGGTGATTTACGGTTAGTCTAGGGCTGAGACTCCAAGCTAATCGTGCTTTTCCTATCCCCCCTTTCTGAAGCCCAATTTGGACTTGGGTCTGTCCAAATCCCAATATTGGTCAGTAAAACATGAAGGAGGCTGAAAGGGGGATTTGAGGAGAAAGACCTCTTCCCTGATGGGACACGGTTTCCCCTTTGTGCCTCTGAACGTGGCCTGTGAGAAGCCAATGCCAGGAACTGTCATCCCATCTAGGGACCATGAAGGACTGAACCAAGTGACAAGTGGGCATACGGAGATTGGTGGGTTGGGTGAACCAAAATAACCCTGGCTCTTGGTGACTCCATTGAGGGTCATTAACCCACCCCTGACATTTCCTAGACCTGGGCTTGCTGTAGTATAACCAAATTTCCCCCTTCTTTAACGCTGCCAATAGTTGGGACTCCCCCGACCCTTTTCTTTTTAGCTGTGTTGGGGATTAAATCCAGGGTCTTGTGCATGCTTGGCAAGTGCTCTATCATTGGGCTATCCCCCTCACCCCCACACCTATTTGGACTTGGGTCTGTCTAAATCCCAATATTGGTCAGTGAAACATGAAGGAGGCTGAAAGGGGGATTTGGGGAGAAACACTTATGAACAATGGTTATGCTGAAGAACAAAATTAAGGCCATGTAAGATGTGGGATGGGGAACACTGCTCTCAATTCTCAGCACGGAGGTCTCCTGTTCTGTCTGCCTCCCAAAAGGCTGTTCCCCACTCCTGCTTATTTACCACTACACTGCATCATTACCAAGCAGCCCAAGGTCAGGGCCTGGGCAGAAGGCAGCTACTCATGAACACAGCCAAGAGAATACACGAAGAAAAGGAAACCAGGCTGGAGAGACCCAGGAGATCTTGGAGGAGGAAGAGGTATGAGAGGAAGAGATAAGGGAGAAGTATTGACCAAAACAGGGACCATAAGCCAACTGGGGAGGGCAGGGTGTGTTCCCCACTGTGGGGTTGATCACTTACATTTTATTGGCGCCTCAAATGACTTGGCCACAGTCACCATAACATTGGTACCGAACACCTGGAGGGAGAAGAGAGGAGTCTGAAGGGAGGTGAGGGGCTAGACAGGAAAGAACAGCTGTCCTTGGACTTCTGGATGTGCTGCTGCCTGGCATGTATGGGGAGTGGGAGAGGGGCTGGCAGGCCCAGAGCAGAGCTGAGATTGAGCAAGGTGGCCACTCATCCTGGTTCTGAGCAACACAAAGAACTTCAAAGGTGACTGCCCCAGCCAGGTAGCTTGTCTGTTCAGGGTTCTGTCCCTTCTGAGAGACTAAAAACCCTGGGCACAACCCACCCCATGGAAGAAGAGACCACCTGGGTCCAGGGAAAGTGTGCTTGAGCTGGGTTGACCTCAGTCCCTCAGTGGGGCCTCATAGACTGAGTGTGTTAAGTCTTGAAGCCCAGGGCTGGTGTGCAGCCAGAGCACAGCCGGCCTGTCCTCTAGGTCAGGGACCTTGATGGACCCATTCTACTGCCCTTGTCTGAACATCCCTGAACCCCAACTTGGTTTTTTACAGAGATGTGGGATTAAGTTATACTTCTGCCAGAGCCATGAGGGTGGATGAATGTCCTGGGCACTGAGTGTGATCTTACAGATTGCCCCTGAGAGGACCAGCTCTGGGGAACTGACTTTTATCAGACAACTGCCATTTGGGCCACAGAGGCAGAGGAATAGGGAGGTAGGAGGTTAAAGCTGGAAATCCTCAGTGTCCCCGCTGACTCACCCAGAAGACGTCGTAGATGAAGAGTCCACCCAGCAGGATGCAACCGGTGCTGACATTGTTCAGGTGCAGAAGTTCCACCCCATTAAGGGAGAAGGCCAGGCCAAAAAGATTGTTGGCAATCCAGTGCTGGGGAAACGAAGGGGTGAGACCAGATCGCTGTGCCCCCTTCACCCCAGCCTCCCTTTTTGCTCAGGTCCAGCTACTTACCTTCCGCAGCAGGTACCAGACGCCAACGATGCTGCTCAGGCCCAGGCACACCAGGTCCTTAGTGTCAAACTCATAGTTGACGATCTCTGGGCAGAGAAGCCAGGTAAGTCCACTCCCCAGGGCGGGACTGTCCCTCCCACATGTCAGCCTCTGGACTGAGGAGGGCATGGCTGTGGGCACTGTCAGAGGCCCTCAGGCCCAGGGGCTCAGCTGAGGCTGCCCCAGACTGGTGAGAATATTATGATAGAGAGAGCTCACTGGAGCCTCCCCTAGTCCCCCAATTTTCTAGAGAAGGTTAAAGATACCCAGAGAGAGTACGGGTTTAATACAAGTTCAGTGGGAAGTGGTCCTTGGTGCTGGAAGCACAGGCTCTGCCACTGGTAGCTAGGTAACCTTAGGGAAAGCAGTTCCCTCTCTGAGCTTCATCTGTGAAAAAAGGCAATAGCACCTCCCTCATAGGGCTGCTATGGGAGTGAGTCTGTCCTTACAATGTCCTTAGCACAGTGCGGGGTACACAGAAGTACTCAATCAATGCCAGCTGTTACTGGTCTTTAGCAAGGTCCTAGTACATTCTGGAAACTCTACTTTGCTACCAAAGGAATCAAGGTTATTGGCACCCCTAATTCACTAGCAGAGGAAGAAGAAGGAAAGAGATGGAGGACTGGAGAAAAGGCAGGAGGGAGTTCCTGTTGCTGCTCTTGTGGGGAGCCCCCGGTAGACATCCTGATGTCAGACCCATTCTCAGTTGCTTCCAAGCTTCCTAATGAGGAAGCCCAGAGAGGTGGTGGAGGTTGGCCAGAGTCTCAGGGTGCAGTCACTCCTTCCAAATTCAAGTGCAGCAGATTGCTGCTTGTCCCCCAATTTGTTTTCTCCTCTGTGGTAAGAGCACCCTAGTTTTTTTTGTTTTTGAGGCATCTGTTGAATTTATTCAGCATAACCACAGAGGCATCGTCACCATGCTGTCACACACAGACACAAAACACAAATACGACACAATATCCATATTTAGCACAAGTGGATTTCTTCTAAGGCTCATTTATATGTCTTCATGTGCCACAGGCCATCATTTAAATAATGGATATTTTCAATGCCGATTCCTTTGTTGACTTTCTCGATATCTTCTGCAGACATCTTCATGACTCCAACGCACAGAGCGTGCTGTTTTCCTTCTGCCATGACCGCAACAATCGTATCTTCCGCGGCGGGATAAAGCTTTGCGCCAGAAGAAGTTAAACCCGGGCACATGATATTTGCGCCACTGAGCACAAATTTGATGGCTCCTTTATCAACCTGCTGGTGTGGCAGGATGAAAGGGTATTTGTGAAGTAATCTTAAGGTTGGGTAAAAAGGCCCTTTTCTTTGCCTAAAAAATAGTAACTCTCCATTTACCGTAAGGATTTCCATATGCTCATGGCATCGGACTATTTTGACGGGATCTTTCTTCGGCATGATTTGATTAAGCCATGGTTCGATACCTGGAAATTGCTCTATCAGTTGGTTCTTGATGCCCTTAATAACTGAAGTTTTCAACTGGATGCAGTTGGATACATTTTCCTTTTCGTCAAATTTCTTGAACATGATCCAAGGCGAAGGAAGTGGTGCCGACTGGGGTGGGCAGCAGCGAGAAAAAATGAGATGCGGCCAGTGTCCGATGATCTCCGTGCTCCAGGAAGGCCGGTGCGGACGGTCGCGGCCGTTGTCGCTAACCGGAAGACGGGTCAGCCGGCCGCGCTTTACGGCCCCGTAAAATGGACTACTTCCGCTGCTCTGAACCCCACGTCAGCGCTCGGCCGGATGTTCTTCCCACTAGCGATCCACTCCAGTGGGGGCAGCGGAAAGGGCGGGGCGTGGGCAGGAAGGAGCGATGGAGCAGCCAGTCAGGTGGCCGGAAGACTTCAGGGGCGCGGCTGGTGGTTCCTAACTGGACACGCGGCTGATGGTTCCTAACTGGACATGAGGCTGACCCGCTCAGGTCATGTTCTCCACCTTTCTCCAACACCCTCTGTAGCTAAATGAGTCCACTACAGGGATGCCTGTCCTTCCCTCTGGCTGCAATGTGAACCGATGGTAGACATCTCTGACCCGGGGGGGGGGGTCACCACTGAGTATGGCAGAGCTTGAGACAGATGGGGCTTGAGACCCTACAGACTCTACGGGGCAAGCTTAGCTTTTTAAAAGAAAACCCCATCAATCATTTATTTGGCACAGATGCACTAGAGATGCAGAAAGGGATCACAACATCGCTGCGCTCTAGGGACAAAGTAGGATACGCTAGGCACCAAGAGAGTGATACCTTCTGCAAGCTTAGAATTTCGGGGGACGGGGGACGAGAAAGAAAGGGGGGAGACCTTCCATTTGGTTAAGCCATTGATGATCTTGCTGTATTTGAACCCAGGATGTAAATAACCTGTTAATCCCAGCCTCTCTTAAGGTCTCCATGGTTTTCATTAAAACAAACATACAAAACCAAAACAAAACTGTGGAACTCCTTTTCCAAAATTTTAGGTGTGACTGTAATCACACTAAAAATAGACCCTATAAAATGGTCACCGACAGAGGGGTTTTACTGAGTGCTTATGTGAGCCAGGCAGTGTGCTGGGTGCTTTCCATTCATTTACTCCTACTCCTAATAATTGTGCCTATGAGGAAGGTGCTAAATTATCATTTTTACTTCATAAATGGCAGGGGAAAACAAAACAAAAAATCCCCAACAAAATCACCCAGTGCTCAGGGAGGTAAGGCATTCACCTAGAGTCCCATGCCTAGGTGGCAGAGCTGGGATAAGCCATGAGATTCCAGAGCCAGTCTCTTCCATCGGTTATACTACTGAAGAACCCAATATTGGAAAGACAAAGGGGAGTGGAAGGGAAGACACCCAAGACATACCACAGGGGAAAGTGGGTGGCACTGACCTTCCTTGTTTTCCCCAGAGCCCTGTGTGAAGAGCAGCTGAAACTGTCGATTTGGGAAGCTGGCTGGAAAAAACTTATTCATGAAGGGGCTGGAAGGAAAGACAAAGCTGGTCGGCAAACACAGCCCCCATGGGCAACCACGGCTCTCATAACCCCCACCAAGACCCATTTAAAGCTCTATCTCCTGGCACCCTCACAGCTGCCCTGCCAGGTAGTTGCTATTGTTCTCACTCTACAGATGAGAAAACCCATGTTCTTAGAGGGTAACTTGCCCAGGGTCACACAGGGAGATAACGTCTGAGGCGAGATTCAAACCTAGGTGTCTGAACTCTTAGTAACTTCTATATCACCTCTTTATTTTATCACACACAGATACAGAGTTTAGGCAGACAGACTTTTGTGTAAAACAGTTTTTGGATGAGTCAGGGATTCCCAAGTCTGGCCCCCACACCACCTATATGAGAGCCCCTTGTCAAGAAGCTCATTTCTGGGCTCCTTTCTAGACCTATCAAGTCGGATGACCTGATAGTCACCCCACCCCACTCCAGAATTTGCTATCCTACTTTCCAGCAACAGGCTGAGTTTTACAAATACAGCTGGAATTGATCAGCCAGGTGAATCATAGCCCCAGGGCAGGATTACCCTCATATTCAGTTCTTCCATGAGGCCTCTCTTGCTCAAGACCAGCCTGGCCTCATGATTACCCAGCATGCCCCACTTCCTGGCCAGGCAGGGAACAGATGTTATTTTCCACACCATCTTCAGAGCAAGATAGCCTACAAAGGCCTCTTGGCCCAGCCTGGTCTTGGGATTGGTAATACTGTGGAGCGGCTACCAGCCTTGGCAATCCAGGCCTGAACCCTGCTTTGTCACACACCAGCCGTGTGGTCCCGGGAGAACCACTTCAGTGGCAGAGTCTTCTTGGGCTTCAGTCTCCTCACCTGTACGTAAGATCATAATACCACCTGTCTCAAATGGTTGTGTGACGATAGAAAGCAGGTAGATGAGCGGTTTAGCCCAGCCCTGGGTCTTGCAGCAGAGATGTTGAAGAACTGTGAACTTCTGTCATGGTGCACTCTTCTAGAGCCTCAGCTTGAAAGCATGTGACATCAGATCAAGTTGGTAATGAGGAAGGCAAATCCCAACTAACAAGCTACTTTCAGCTCAGTTTGCAGAAATTGCTTTTGGGGAAGTCTAAAATCAGGGTGTGTGTGGTAGGTGTGGGTAGGGAGGTGACCTGAGGAGCTAAGACCTTCACCTCTTCTTTGGGAGGTTAGTGCTCTACTTGTCAACCAGGAGAGTAGGGATGGTTAAGAACACGAGTGCTGGAGTGACACTTCGTAGATTCAAGTCTCAGTTCTCATAATAGTAGTGTGAACTTCTCTTTCCTCATCGGAAACACTACAACAATAGCTTTCTCATAGAAATATTAAAAGAATTAAGTGAATGCCGGGGAATGAATCCAGGACCCGACTCATGCTGATAAAGTGTTCTACCATTGAGGAATACCACTGGCCCCGACTCAGGTCTTTGTTACTGAGCAAAGATAGGCTGCCGGGCATGGTGGCACATGCCTACAATCCCAGCTATTCGTGATTGAGACAGGAGGATTGAGAGGATTTATTAAAAAAAAAATAAAAAGGGCTGGGATGTAGCTCAGTGGTGGAATCCTCCAGGTTCAATCCCAAGTACTATATAACACAAGGGAAGTCACATGATCTTGCTGGTGGGAGTCTATAAACTTGAGGGTAGGGGCCCAGGTTATCATTTCTGACCCATCCGGGCTAGCCATGGTGTCTTGAGACACTGGTAAATGCTTGCTGAACAACTCTGAATGCACTTTCGTAGAAGGCACAGATTCTTTCTGGTCTTTGATGGCTCACATTAAACCTAAAGGTCACTGCTTCCTGCTAAGAAACCACATCCTGGTGCCCTTATCTGGGAGTGGAAGGTAAGGGTTAGTGAAACTGATGATGTGGCTTGTTCCTCCTGGGGTGGCAGATTTGGGCCTTCTGTTCTCCCAGAGTTAGCTGCTTGGGATATAAGCTCAGTCAGCGGTGACAAGAAATAAGCCCAAGTTCCCTTGTCAGGAGGATGTCTGGGATTTGGTTAGGGCTTGAGTTTTGGTGACTATAGATGACTGAAGGCAGGCTGTGGTCCCTGCCTTTCCCCAGGACAGGGAGCTGTGGTTTGTTCTTGGAGGCCTGAGATGGGTGGAGGGATTCTGAAGGAAGCACAGCCTGGGCTGCCATGGCTTGGGGCTCAGCTCTGCTCAGTCTTTCCACAGACCTCTCCTTTCCAACTCTCAGCACAACACAGGTCCGCCCTCCTTAAGCCTCCCTTTCCCTCATTTTTGCCCAAACTGAAAAGAATACTGGCTTTGGAGTCAGACAGACCAGAGCTCAAAACCTAACTCTGCTCTTATCAGCTGCAAATCCTGGTGGTCATACACCCCCGTTCTGAGCTCCATTTCCATCTTGAACTTTTGCACCTTATGAGAATCCCGAGGAAGCTCATGTGACTTTCTTTGAGGAAAGTATTTAAGAAAATTCAACTTAATTGAAGAACAGTCAATTGAATCTTTGCATCAACTCTCTAAAAAAATATGATTAATTGTATTTCCCCTTTTTATTAAAAATTATTTTCAAAAAAATTTCACTGGATTAATTTCTTTTCCATATACATTTTACAATAACATTTTCATTCATTGGACAGTCTTTGGTTCCTATCAGATTTTTCAGTGCACAGTTCTGACCCTGAATGGTGAGTACACTTCTACCCGCAGCCATCCGTTATTTTGACAAGATCTAATTTTCCCAGGTCAAATTTTGTTGCTCTAAGTTTTATTAAGAAAATGATTTTTCTGTTAGTTTCTAGTCATTAACAAATTTTACAATGTGCAGTTTTAGCAAAGCTGATGGTTTTTTCTTTTCTTTTTAGTGGTACTGAGGATTGGATCCAGGGCTTCATGCACTCTACCACTGAGCTATACCCTAGCCTTTTTAAATTTTGAGATAGGATCTTGCTAAGTTGCTGAGGCTAGCCTCGAACTTGCAATCCTCCTGCTCATCCTGAGTAACTGGGATTATAGGCATATGCCACCGCACCTGGCTCTGTTGGTTTTTCTATTGACAATATTCATCACTAACAATAGTGAATTGGTTAGAAGACAGAGAAACAATTGTTTCTTGGCTAATCTGTAAGAAATCTGGGACAATGTCTCTCAGTTATTGTTCTAAATGAAAAAAAAAAATGTCTTTGGTGTCAAAACGATAAAGGTTCTAAACACCCTGCTTGGGAAGTTGGATAGAAAAATGACCTTTCTTGCAGGGCTGCTGAGATAAAGTGAAATAATTCCTCAGCACATAGTCTAGCAGTGGCTTTCAAGATATATTGGTTTCCTTCTCTGTGTAGTGATAATTGGGCTATGGGGAGATCTGGGGTGTCAAGCCTTTTACAGATGGTAGGGTGGGATGAGCTAGACTTGCAGGGAGGGTCTTCATCAGTGTGGGAAAGAAGGAGACCCTGTGCCTGGAATAATGGCTTCCCACCAGTTCCCCAGGTTCATCATGACTACAGAGGTCTGTCCTGACACTGCTAGGTTCTCTGGACCTTGGTTTTTCAGAATGGGGAATGGGACCAGAGATCTCCCGAGTTGGCTAGAAGCAGAGTTTTTGGGTAAAGGGTCAGTGAAGTAAAGACAATACTGACTTCAGTCTCAAAACTATAGCTGAAAAACCAGCTATATAACCTTGGGCCAGCTTCTCTACTACCCGAGTGCCACCTGACACTGAGCCCTAGGCAAGCCACACACAGTGTGGCTACTCTGATCCTTCCTGCACCTCTGTGAGGACAGTCTATAGTCTCTATTTTATAGGTGGAAAAACTCATGCTCAGAGACTTGAGTAACTTAAGAAAATTACAAAGCTGGCAGAGCCAGGCCTTGGTCCCAGGGTGCCTCTGGAGCCTATGTTCTGACCGCCACTGTCTGGTCAGCATTCCCGGAGAGTAAGGCCACGCCCAGGTGGGTGTCCATTGTCTATAGAGGCAGACCCTGCTCTTTCTCTTGACTACTCTGGGAACATCCTGACGGTGAACCCTCAATAGGCATGGTCCTTCTGGCTCCTGGCCTGGTCTCTCTTTGGCATCTCTTCCAGTCCTCCTACCCTTGAAAGCTTAGTTCAAGTTGACTTCCTTTCTTCTGGGAACTTTTCCTGGTCTGCTGCCACTGCTCAGTCTTACCAATGGTTCTCAGCCTGAAGCTGTACAAGTTCCACTTGTTGAGTGGAACAAGGCTGCCACAGGTGTGCAGTGCACAGGCTAGCCCTGCACAGGGAGAACGCCAATGGGAGTTCCCTGTCCGAGAACACTGGTTCAGATCACTCACCTTATGAGGAGGTGGTTTGAGCAGGGAGGTGGTGGCAGAAAGATGGGTACTGGGGCCACACAGACCTGAGTTTGAATCCTGGCGCTGTTGCTTATTAGCTGTATTACCAGAACGGTTTTTTTTTTTTTTCCTTTCCTGATACTGGGATTGAATCCAGTGGTGCTTTACCACCGAGCTATATCCCGAGTCCTTTTTCAGCCTCCTGAGTCACTTGGATTCCAGGTGTGCTTCACCACACCTGGACAGAGCAAAGTTCTTAACCTCTCTGAGCTTCTGTTTCCCTGACTAACCTAGGATTAAAAGAAAGAGCTAAATGCAAGTTTCTCTGGTACGTTAACACAGATAGTAACAAAGTTAACAGTTATTGAACATATTAAGTGCGAGAAACCAAGCTAAAAGCTTTCCACATGTCCCCAGAAGGAAGATGTTATTATCTTCTACCACACTGGTGAGGAAATTGAGGCCAGAGAGATTAAATAACTTGCCCAAGGTCATTGGGCTATTAAGTGGCAGAGTCTGGATTTAAAGTCAGGTAGTCAGATTCCAGAGCTTGCCTCCCTAATCTTTCCCCACACTGCTTCTCTCATGAAAAAAGACAACGCGTCAAGATGCTTGGCAGGCCACAGCACCTGGCGTTACTCATCTCAGTACTCTGACAACACCAGGATGTTACTGCTCACAAACAACCTTCCCAACAACAGTGGCAGTGGGAAACATCCATGGTTACTTTTATAGGTCCCTATAAAGGCACTGTAGCCCAGACATGTTACAGTTCTAGTCCTAGGTCACCTTTAGTGACACAAGGGAAAGATTCCCTTGGGTTTTTGGGCCAAACCCGGCTCTGAATGACACCAAAGGTCATGTTCATATCCAAAACCCTGTTCTGGCTCCTGTGAAAGCTGCTTCATATGCTGCAGAGATGCCTTCTGACCTGATGGTGTGGGACAACGCCAGGATTCCCAGCACGAAGAAATACATGGACAGCAAGAGGTTGATGTACTCCTGGGAGAATATCTGAGGCAGAAATACAAAAAGAAACAGGAAGTTAGGATGCCTGTGGCCACAAGGAAACTATATATAGAGTCCCAGCTTCTCTTCTGGAGGTTGGTCTCATGCCCCTGGAGTCGGGGGACAGTTGGGAAGAAACCTCAGACAAAATCAGGGTACTCCTATTTTCTATGGCTGTGAGAAAAAAGGGTGGGACTCCAAGCCCCATCCTGTACCTCCCAAAGGAGTCTAGAGGTGTGTGCCCGTGACTGCATTATCTGGAAACAGGCAATTATCGTTTGTGTCCAGAGTCTTGCAGAGTGGTCCTGCGTGGATGGGGAGCCCAAGGCACAGAAACCTGAGAGCTGTTGGAGCTGCAGTACTTGCTCTTCCGTATCTCCTCTCCCTGCCCCCAAATCCCAGGAGCCCTTACAGAGTGGCCATTACAGCCACCATCATGCTAACTGCAAAGTATCTGGGTGCCCTGCCCCACTCTCCATGTCCACTCCACTGATAACTCCTCCTGATAACTGTGGTGGGAGGTTGGGACAGCAGGCCCTGATAGCCGCATCCTGGCCACCTTATTGTCAGGTGAAACAGGACATATTCTCCGTCAAATGTTCTAAACTCAAGTGTCACGTTTTAAGTCTGGGCCTTAGCTATGTCATGTTCCTCTACACTTGCTGTATCCTTGCTGAATTTGCTACTGTGATGGTTGAACTACGAGGGAATGATGTGCTCATCTGCGAAGGGCAGGGACACTGGCTCTCTGCTCTCAAGTAAGGCTGTGATGGAATGTGTTTAAATGCCAACTTGAACATAGCAGTCCCCTGGTTAAATCCTTGCAGTGGCTTCCCACTGTTCCCAGAAGCTGAAGGCCCACACCCTTGCACTGACCTCTCCGCCCCTCTTCTATGTGCCCCAGTCACACTGGCTTTTGCAGTGTGATGGCTGTGTTACACCACCACCCATAGGTCACTTGGGCATGTACTCCTGAGCTGCTCTCTTTTCCCTTCACCTCACCAGCCCTATTCATCCTTCCTCAGCCCAAGTTTTCCTCAGGTAGTCCCCCCAGTAATTCCGTGGACATTTACTGGTTTACCACGCTGGGCAGGACATTGTGCTGAACACTAGGAATATAGCTAGCAATAAGGTGAAGTGCCTGCTTGGAGTTCACCTGCCAGCGAGGGAGAAAGAATCTCAAAAGAAACAACGATCTATAACGTACGGTTAGGTGTGCTGGCGCTAAGGAAAGCAAAGCAGGGCAAGGGGTTAAGTGAAGGGGCTGTTATAGTTTGGATATTAAGTGTCCCCCTGAGAAGCTCATGGTGGTGTAAACATGATACCCAACGCAGCAACGTTCAGAGGTGGAATGATTAGTTTATGAGAGCTGCAACCTCATCAATGGGTTAATCCATTCAATGGATCAATTTGAGTGGAATACTGGGTAGCAACTGTGTGGGGGGTGGGGCCGGAGGAAGCAGCTCACTGGGGATGTGCCCTGGGGATTATATTTTCTCACTGGCTCTCTATGCTCTCTCAGTTCCTGGCTGCCATGTGCTGAGGACCTTCCTTCCACTGTGCCCTGCTGCCATGATGTTCTGCTTCACCTCAGGTCCAGAGCAATGGAGTTGGCTGACCATGGACTGAATCTCTGAAAATGTGAGACCCAAATAAACTTCTCTTCCTCTAAGTTATCTTGCTGGGTATTTTGGTCACAGTGATGAAAAACTGACTGACATAGGGTGAGAGCTGCTACTTCAGACAGTGGCCACAGAAAGCCTTCAGAAGGGAGGACACTAGAATAGAAGCCTCAGAGCAGGAGGAGGCTGTGGAGCTCAGGGAAGAGCACCTGAGGCAGAGGGAAGGGCAGGTAGAAAGATCCTGAGGTGGATGCTTGTTTGTGTGTGTAGGGAACAGTAAGGGCCTGTAAGCCTGGGGCAAGGGAACAAGGGAGCGTCAGGAGGTGAGGCTAGGGAGACAGGAGGGAGCCAGACCCTGCGGTACCACGAAAGATTTCAGATTCACCTAAGTGAGATCGGTCAGCACTGGAGGGCTTTTGCAGTGTGATGGCTGTGCCACACTACCACCCACAGGTCACTTGGGCATGTGCTGGGACATGATCTGATGGTCTGATAGGATTCCTCTGTTGCTATGCAGAACAGAGACCCTGAAGGACAGGAGTGGAAGCAGAGAGCCCAGTGGGTGAGGAGGGCCCTACAAATCCAGCAAAGGGAATACAGTGACCTGCATTGGGGGACATGGAGTAAAGTGACGAACAGCAAAAGACTCTAAATCTGTTCTGGAATCAGGATCGCAGGAAGTGCACAGGGACTGGATATGAAGGATGAGAGAAGCAAGGACAAGGACTCCCTGGGTTTTTGGCCAAGCAGCTAGGTGGACAGAGGCGCTCTTGTCTTAGATGGAGGTTTGGGCAGGAGCAGGGTTCATCCTAGGCGGGTTCTTCTGTGCTTTCCTGCCTCTGGGGGACCTTGTCTTCACACCCCTTCTCAGAGCTTTAATTTCATATTTCTCTATGTGACTGGTGTCTGTCTCCACTACTCAACAAGATGCTCCTTGAGGGCAGGGGGGGTTGGCTTTTTTCTTGCTACGGTGGTGTCCCAGGCACAGGGCCCAATGTAGCAGGCACTCAATAAATGTAGAAGGACTGAGCGGATGAGCAGTCCAGTGCCTGCCTGGATGAGTACTACTGTAGAGGAGGCACCTGGATTAGGCTTCATCTGTGGAGATGTTCTGTGCCTCAGGCAGTGTTCTTCCAATGTGGGCTCCGAGGAAAAAACTTGCTCAGGCCACACTCGTAAGCTGGCTACTTTGACTGTGTGGTTATGGGAATTGAGCACTAAGACGCACTTTGCTTTGTGCTTTGGCTGCCAGAAAGTTAGAGCCACAATTGTGGTCCATTTCTGGCAAGAATACAAGTCTTTAGGCCACAGGGTCTGGGTAATGTCCTCACCCAAGACTTGTTTTTTCCTATTTCAACTTTTTTCTTCACCCCTTTGTTTTTCTCATGCCATTGGATTTTATTTTTTAAGCTGCCTAAAAGCAATTGGGTAAATGAGAGGAGATCAAGTAAATGCTATCATGTTGAGAAATGCTGTTGTGTTTTCAAACTTCATATTTTCCTAATGCCTCAACATCCCCACACACAGGCAGTGAGCACCCCACCCAGGTAACAGAGGCAGCAGTGTGATAAGGCTGGTCCCTACACAAGTTCCCCTTATTTCCCTCCCAAGACTGTGCCCTTGTGACATTTAAACACACCAATGACAATGATCCCCTCATGCTTGTGTTCTCTGCACTGAACTCCAGCGCAGGCACCTGCCCAGGGGTTCTTCTTCTCACCTGCACAGTTAAATCTGCTCCCTGGGACTTCTACCCCATGGGTCCCTGTGTGCTGTGCGGTGCCTCCTTCTCTAGGGCCTCTGAGTATAATAGATCCTGTACTTCCACTCGCCTCTCTGAGCATTGAGTTCCTTGGCTGTGTTGGAATGATCCTTAAAGACTCTGCAAGGGGGAGTTCCCCATTTATCACACAGTTGAGGACAAGAGGGAACATTCTAAACCAGGCAGTAAGTCCTTCAGAAAGGCATATGAAATGAAAGGATCTACTACACTCAGAGATTGGAGAGAGGGAGACTCTTGGGCAAGTGCCTTTATGGGGTCAAGGCAGAGCACACAAACAAAAGACTGGAGGGGATTTCACTGGTATGTCTGAATATCTCGACATCAAGGTCAGGGGGGAGGGCTGGAGTGAGAAGTAGTGACAGAGACCAGCCTTAACTACACCTGGTCACCTGGACAGGATGCTTTGAGCTTGACTATGGGGATGCTGTCATTTCAGGAAAAATTCTAAGAATGTCTAATGCAGTTTCAAATGCCAGTACAGCAACGAGAAGTCAGAGGAAGAAGTGGAGTAAGAGCCCTGTGGTAGGTGCTTCTGCTGTTAAACCAACCAGCCAACTAGCTATCAGGTTGAGATTCCTGAGGAGCCTGGTGGCTGCCCTGTCCGCAACTGCCTTTCAGAAATCTCCCCGTGGACACTGCAGAGGCAGGGGGTAGAGGTGGGACTGTGAAAGGGAGCTTCCCGCCCAGAGAGGAGGGTAGGCTGAGCAAAGGCAGTCCTGCCTTAAAAAATGGTTCACACCCTCTGCTGTCAGATACTCCTTTTTGGAGGGATCTAGCCTAAGGAAAGAATCCTAAATCCTAAATATATTAGGCGGTCTTGAGGCAAGGGACTTGGTGTCTTCCTGCACTGAGCACAACAGAGACTTGAGAAATCTGCCAAAAGCAAAGTCAGAAGCAACAGGCCCGCTGTGCCCAGAGCCACAGAGATCTCTGAGGCAGAGGGAGAGGAAAGGAAGCAGAGGGAGACACACTGCACAGCTCTACTTAAAGCAGCTCAACTCACTCAGACACAAACACACCACACACTAGACACACTAGAGCAGGCACTTCTGGTGGAGACGGAGATGAAGGTGGGAAATGGAGGCGGACATTAGGGGTGAAGTAGGGGAACAAACAAGATGGGGCACCTGAGGGTGGTATGCCGTGAACCAAGGCATTTGATAAGATATTCACCTGAGGTCCAGGGAAAAAAAAGGGGTGGGGGGGATCAGCAAATAGCCAATGCTCTTTGGTATATCCTTATTTTTCAGAGTAAAAATCAGAATGACATTTTCTGTTTGAAGTGATGGGGGTACTGTAAGTCAACTGTGATGTATCTGCCTGTAGGCATATTCTGAAACCGTTAAAAACAGTAGTTATGATTGAACAATGAGATAGTGATGCAACAGGAAACAGGCATGAAAAATTAGGCATTTGCTTCATTTACAGAAGAGCAAAACCCAAAAACGTGGATGCTACCTAACACAGTGGACAGCACAGGGAAGCTAGCACACTTGTAACTGCCAGTAGGAATGGAAAACTGCCCCTTTGGAGGGCAATTTTGGTACTACCTAATTATAAAACAAGCCTCTGCTTGACCTGGGAATACTGCAGACATACTTGAAGAAAATTTGTGTATGTGCCAAATACTTCATGCCAAAATATGTGCAGGAAGACGTTCATAGCAGCACTACTTTGATATTCTAATAGTGGACACACATCCTCAGGGGTATATCATATAACAGAACCACGGGCAGCTTAAAAAGAATCAGGTAGATTGGACTGTGTTGATATAAAAATACTTTCATGGTGAGAGCTGTAGATTTGATAAATATACTAAAAATATAATCCTAGATCTATGCATAACAGAGCCACAATAAACTAATATTGAGGAGAGGATTATGGCTCATTTGTATTTTCTTCCCTTAGTCTGAAATTCTTTTTTTCTTTAAGGTGCTGAGGATAAAACAAACCTAGGCCTTGGGCATGCTAGGCAAGCACTCTACCAGTAAGCCCACCTCCAGCCCCAGAAAATAGTTCAATTATATATATATATTTTTAAAAAAAAAAGTTTCAAGGAGAGTTTGCAGTAACATGAGAAAATGCTCATGATGTTATCAATGTGAGGTGAGAAAAGCAGCTACAGACTGAATACACCACGTGGTCACAGCCATGGAGAAACCATGCACGGGAAGAACGCGGAAGGACACACCTCCAAAGGGAAACTGTGACTGTCTCTGGAAGTGGGGTTTTGGATGATTGCTGTTTCCCCCTTTTTACTTTTCTGTGTATTCCAGGTTTGCAACACTGAGCCTGTGTAACTTTTATTGGGAAAATAAACCTCGATAAATTAAAAAAAAAAAAAAGGCGATTAGTATGGTAGAGGTAATGTCAGAGACACAAGCTATACCCCAGCCCAACACATACAGTACAATAAAACCAAATTGGTATCATGAAACAGAACAAAAAAACTACATGGAGAAAAGAAATAGACTGGCAGGAAAGGTCCCAAACATGGACAATAGCTGTCTCTGGGTAGTGGGTCTACACGTAAATCTTTAATTTCTCCCTGCTCTTTATTTTCTAGAATCAAACATGCATGGCTCCTGTGATGAGAAAAATAAAACAAAAGAAAATAAAGTTATTTAAACCAAATGACATCACAAGTGGCAAACAACTTACTTTGAAAAAGAGGTAGAGCCCCAAGAGTGTGCAGCTAGCGATGATGGGGAAGCGGGCAGCATCCCGGCTGGTGATGGTTTCAGGCATGTCCGAGGCATTCTGAAGGAGAGAAGAGAGGCAGCGCTGAGTGGGGCTCTGGTCTGTCTGTCCTCTGTGGCTGGCTGCTGATGGGATTCGGTGTTCCAACAACTCATCTGGTGCCTCAAGGCTTTTGCTTATGCTAGTCCTGCTGCCAGGGAGGCTGCCTGACTCCCCCTGGGCAAGATAATTTGATCCCCTCATTTTCCCATTGAGGATATCTGGATTGTGGTGAAGACTATCCAGAAGAACTCAGGGCATGTGTGGCATGTCTGAGAAGAGCCATGGTAGAGGCAGTTAAAGCATGTGACAACTGAGAAGGGGTAGGGGGTTAGAAGAGAGAGAAAAGGGGCTGGGGATGTGGCTCAAGCTGTAGCGCGCTCGCCTGGCATGCGTGCGGCCCAGGTTCGATCCTCAGCACCACATACCAACAAAGATGTTGTGTCCGCCGAGAACTAAAAAATAAATATTAAAAATTCTCTCTCTCTCTCTCAAAAAATAAATAAATAGATGGGACTCTGGTTTAAAAAAAAAAAGGAGAGAAAAAAAAAGGAAACAGGGCTGGGGATACAGCGCTTGCTTAGCGTGCAGGAGGCCCTGGGTTCAATCCCCAGCACCACAAAGGTGGGGTGGGGGGACACCCAAAAAATGAACCACTGGGAGAACTGAATATGGTTAAAAACAAAACAAAACACTATTACATTTATAAACGGCAGATGCTACTGTTGGCAAGAACGTGATGTAGGCAATGGGACCGTTGAATGATATTTACATGAAAAAGAACTTAATGCAATCAAACTGACAGTGGAGTAACATTGTAACATAGGATTTAAATTAGCTTTATAGAATTAATGCCAAAAGACTTTTCCTCACCGTCCTCAAAGGCCCAGCAAACACTTGCTGCCATGAAGCCCTTCCAGATTCCCCCACTGGGATAAGCCAATTCCCAACTATTTCATATCATAACCACCAAAATCCTAGTAAAGGCAAAAGAGACACCCATGCCGAGGTGAAATTCTTTCCATAGCAGCCACAGGCTCGTCACAGTGTTCAATATTCCACTGTTACCATGTCCATCTCGTGAAGAAGGCACCAGCATTCCTGGGAGAAGGGATGCCATTCAGCTGTGGAATCTTGCCAAGAGTTTGGTTCAGTGCTGGCTCTTAAAAACCAACAGGAGGGCTGGGTTTGTGGCTCAGTGGCAGAGAGCTTGCTTTGCATATGTGAGGCACTGGGTTCGATCCTCAGCACCACATAAAAATATGTAAACAAAAGAGATATTGTGTTCATCTGTAACTAAAAATATATATATATACATACACACACACGTTTAAAAAAAAAAAACACAATATGAGAGGGGAGCTACTGGAGGGGGATTCTGGCTCAAGGAGGTTCTTCTGCCCCAAGGTGGAAGACTGCAGAAGGGGAATGAGATGGGAGTACAGGGTAGCAGCCCAGGAAACCATCACTAGGAGAGGGAGGGAAACAGCGGTGTGTTGCATGATTGGCTTGAGTACAAACCTATCCAGTCTTTTGGGGAGGGCAATCTGGCAGAATATGTCAAATCATAATTTGCACATGCCCAAGGAAATAAAAAGATTGACAGACAGGAACTACAAATGACTTTTTAGTCTTAGGGAAAAAAAAGTTCATTTTTCACTTTTTTCCACCCCCTGAAGTGCTAGGGATCAAACCTAGGACCACTCACATGCTAGGAAAGCTCTCTACCACTGAGCTACATTCCCAGCCCTTCACTCTTGAACTTGAGATTCTCCTGCTTCAGCCTCCAGAGCTGCTGGGGTTACAGGTGTGCATCACTATGCCCAGCTCTCACCTCTCACTCTCAATAAGAGAACCTGAAATTGAAGTACACTGACATTCCATTTTTCCTCATAATGGAAAAAAATCCACACTTTTGGTCTTCTGTACAGATGACTTGGCAACACATGTCAAAACCAAACCACAAATGCGCGGACCCTTTGATCAAGCAAATATACTTCTGAGAATTTTTTTTTTTTTACAGATGAAACTCTCATACCAGCAAAATGATGCCTATGAAGTACATCCAAAGTATTCCTGGCTGTTAATCGGTTGCTGGTGACTGAAGCAAGTCATCTGCATTCTGTGTACCAATTTGCTCATCTGTCAAACAGGAGGACACCCTCTTAACTTACTTCAAAAAAGAGCAAAGAGGCTTAAACCAAATGAGATGTGTAATGCCAAAGAGGTGGGCAAACTGTAAAGTACTGTGATCACAGGAAGCTGTGATTACTAGGGAGAGGTGAGTGAGGAGCCCCTTTGCAAACTGCTGTGTGTAGGCTGGGCAGCAGGCCCTCCCCTCTGGAGCCGGGAGCTCTGTGTGAATCACTCTCCAGCAGCTTCGCCAGGAGATGGGGGTGGGGAGGGTGAGCAATACCATTACCAAGAGGCCCAGTTTCCTTCCTTCCCTCTTTTCTACCAGGCTGTTTTTTTTTTTTTTTTAAATTTCTTTCTTTCCTAGTTTTTGGTGGTACTGGGGATTGAGCCCAGGGCTTTACATATGCTAGGCAAGTGTTTCACCAATGAGTTACACTCTAAATCCTTTTATTTTAGTTTTTTTTTTGGTACTGGGGATTAAACCCAGGGTTGCTTAATCATTGAGCCACATTCCAGGGTCTTTTTTTATGTTTTATTTTGAGAGAGGGTCTCACCAAGTCCTTTGGGCTTCACTAATTTGCTGAGGCTGGCCTTGAACTTGCAATCCTATTGCCTCAGCCTCCCAAATTGCTGGGATTATAGGCATGTGTCACCACGCCCATCCCTTTTATTTTATTTTTAGGCAGAATCTCTAGGTTGCCCTGGCTGGCCTTGAATTTGTGGTCCTGCTGCTTCAGCTCCAGAGCAGCTGGGATTACATGCATGAGACACACCATACCTGGCTTAATTTCTGTTTTTTTTTTGGCAGCAGTTTGTGGTGGGACTTGGGCAAATGCCTCAGCCTCTCTGTGTACCTCCACAAATTGAATACGATTCCTGTGTGACAGCAGAGTAGGTACAAAATAAACCAGACAGCTCCTGACCTCGGAGTTCCCAGGAAGACAGGCCAAGACCTTGATAGGTAAACAGTACAGTGACATAAAACAAAACAAAACGTATACTGATGTGTGATGTGATTCATGATATGAGTGCAAAGTGGTTATAGGAGGGCTGAGGTCAGAAGTCCCACCGGGACTCCAATTGCACTCCTTTCCAGCTGTGGGACCTTGGAAGGTGATTTTTCTCACTCAGAGCCTCAATTCCTCAGTTGTAAAATGAGTTGTGAGGATTCCCATTTCTGCACAGGAAGTACTTGAGTATACACTATTTTTTTTAATTTTTTTTTTTAGTTGTGGATGGACACAATATCTTTATTTATGTATTTTTACGTGGTGCTGAGGATTGAACTGAGTGCCTCACTCATGCAAGGCAAGTGCTCTGGCAATGAGCTACAACCCCAGCCCCGAGCTGTATACACTATTCATATCACTTTTATGGACGAGGGAATCATGAGTATATAGGGAAATAAAGGAGTGTCAGTGGTGCCAGAGCAGATGCAGCTTGAAAGCCAGGTACAGAGTCAGGTATGCAGTAGAACTGACTGAGTTGAGGAGTTTGCTTTGTGCACAAGGAAATGAAGCACTTATCAAGCAGAGACCTGCATATACAGAGGCCCAGGGCTGGGAAGTACACAAGGGCTTTTGTAACTTCACCTATAAACCATTGTTAAGGCTCATCTTCACAGATTCCCTCCAATTCTGCCAATACCTGGAGAGGAAGAGGCTTAACGTTATTTGATGACAAACTAAGGTTGTGCAGATGCTCCACCTATCAGAGAAATCTGGTCTCCTCTGTGGGTGACTGTTATAAATATCTCATGCTGCAATGGTGAGTCAGAATGGGAGACATCAAAGCTGACCAGCAATATTACTAATAAGGATAACGTTTATTGAGAACTTTCGGTGTGCCAAGTGGTGTTCTTGGTGTTTTACATGACCTCATCATCACAAAACAGGTACATTTTACAAGTGAGGAAAATTTGCTCAGTGTAACACAGATGGCAGGCAGCAGGATTCAAACTGTGGTGGTCTGTTTCCAGAACCCAGGCTCTTGGCTACCATTTACTAGACGACCTCTCTCTTTCCTATCTGGAAAAGCCTGCTGGAAAGTTGTGATAAGAAGATGCTCAGGAAGCCTGTGACATTCCTAAGGAACAGAATGCTGAAGGTAAGAATTAGCTAATCCTTTCTGCCCTTTCTTCTTGTGGTACAAAGGATTGAACTCAGGGGTACTCTACCCCTGAGCTACATTCCAGCCCCCTTTAAAGTTTCATTTTGAGATAAGGTCTGGCTAATAATGGGAAATAATAAATATATAAAGTTATTAATTTCAGCAGGGTTTGTAACAACCAAAGACTCAAACAACCTAAATGACCACAGGCCTCCTAAGCCAATGTTCTCCAATTTGGGTGTGTATCAGAATCATGGGGTGGGGGGGAAGCTCTGTTAAAACACCCCCTGTTGGGCCCACCTTGAGTTTCTAATTCTGAATCTTATTTCTCACAAGATCCCAGGTGATGCTGGTGCTGCAGGTCCAGGGACTACCCTTTGAGACCAGTGCTCTAAACAAAATGTGAGGTGCAGGTGGTACACCACAGCTGTTAAAAAAGAAGAACATGAAACTGGATGTGGTGGTGCACGCCTGCAATCCCAGCAACTTGAGGCTGAGGCAGGATTGTAAATTCAAGGCTAGCCTCAGCAACTCAGCCTCTCAACTCAGATTTGAGACCCTGTCTCAAATAGAAAATAAAAAGGTCTGGGATGCAGCTCAGTGGTAAAGTGTTCCAGGGTTCAATCCCCAGCACAACAACAAAAACAATAATAATAACAGCAGCAAAAAAAAAAAGAGAGAGAACATGACCATAACATACTGACATGATTAGATCTCCAAAATATATTCAATGAAGAAAGCAAGGTACAGAAAAGACTGCACACATAATAAAATATAACAGTTACATAACTAAATGGGGACACATGCTTACTTACTGTATAGTCTGCCTGGAAGGATATTTAAGAAACAGGTGACAGGGGCTGCTTCTGGGGAGGAAAATTGGGCAGCTGGGGTGGAGGGAAACTCATTGTGCACCTCTGGACACCTTCTAAATTTTGTACCAGGGACAAGCATTATCTGCCCTTCCTAACATGAAAGGATGAGGTAGATCTGATGTAGAAAAATGACTAATATATACTGATAAAGGAAAAAAAATCAAATTGCAAAGCAATACTTATAATGCCGTTGTTATAAAAATAAATCTACCATGAATATATATATACACAAGCACATACTTAAGTTTGAATATACACAGAGAAAGTTCTTAGAGGTGGGCTGGGGAGGTAGCTTAGTGGTAGTGCATGTACTTAGCAAGTAGTACTTACTACTTAGTGGTAGTGCAAGGCCTTAGTTTCCTTCCCTAGCACCATAAATTAATAAATAAATAAATAAATAAAAAATGCTCTGAAAGGTTACATTCCAAACAGCTAAGTGGGCTACCTCCAAGGAATAGTACTGAGGAGTCTTTTCCATTATGTTTCTGTTCTGCTTGAGGGTTTTTTTTTTTTTTAAAACAAGTTTATAGTTATTTTTGTCACTACCAAGTTTAAGCACTGCCTTGGGATTCTGATCCTCAGAAAGGCTATGTTCCCTGGGTATCTTGTCTTGGCATCCATGTCCCTCTCCTGGCCTCAGGTCACACTTTTCATTGTCCCTGCTCTGTCTACTGAATTCTCACCTACTCCAGTAAAGTCAACTGCAGCCTCCCCTAGGAGACACACAAGGGCTCAATCTAGTTGACTCAGCACACACCTGTGCATTACTGGTGACTGAGGTCTGTGAGGAAGGCTCAGCACTCCTGGGACCTGGTTCAGTGCAGATGCCTTGTCCTGTTAGTTGAGGGGCTGCTTTGTTCTACAGGCCAAAGCTGCTGAACCAGCTGCTTGGACAGAATTTGTTCCCCTTGGGAACACAGATCTTGGACAGGGGCGTGCACAGCCCTTCTCTGCAAACCCTGCAATTGCTGGTATTACCGTCACAGACCCTTGTAGGCCACTTCTTCACAGTACTCCTGCATCTCCACCTTCTTCCTGGGATTTCACAGTGTGCCCTGGACACATAGACCCCAGGGCAAGTCTGTCTTCATATGCCCTTTCTCAGGTGGCTTTATGATCTAACATGAGTGGAAACCCAAAACTCTTGGGCCCCCACACTAACTCTTCTCTCTCCTTGCCAAATGACCAAGGAAATGATGCAGGGTGAAAAAGTGACTTTCCCCAGGCCAAAATGCTACTTGTGTAAGACTTTAGAGGCACCTGTATCCAAAGATAGTGTCCTGATCTGAGACAAGGCACGCCTGGTTCTGCCCCTATGTGGTATAATGATCTTAACAAGTCATTCTTTTGACCCTTGATTTATTTTTCTGTACAGTAGGAATAAAACTAGCTCTACCTGCCACACTGAGGTCTCTAGTATTGAAGTGGGTAAAGATTTTATAACTTTAGAGCATCCTGGTTATTGGAGGGAGAGGCCATCAGTGAATGGTCAGGCCCCATTTGTAAATTTCATAGTTTTCCAGCCCTGCAGGAGATGTTTCGGAGAGGCAATTAGACAAAAGCACTTTAATCCACACTCTCTGCTCCCGCCACACCAGACCTTCTGTGCTTCTGTAACTGCTTTGTCTCTTCCAGGCTTCCTACCTCTCACTTTCCTCTGCTAGAATGCCCTCTCCTGGCTGGAATTCTACCTCTCCATCAATGCTTGGGCCTCCCTCCACACAAAGCCTCCATGCCCTGCTCCAGACATGTGTGCACAGCCTTTCTCTTTCTCTGCAAACCCTGCGGTTGCTGGTATTACCGTCACAGAACTAGTTATCCTTCCCTCATCCACACTCCTGAACTCCTTGGTGACACTGCTCTGACCTACACATCCCTGCAGCATCCCTCCACTGTAGACAATAGCAGAAGTTCGGGAAACACTGTTTCCTGGAGGTGTTTTTGGAAGAGAAGAGCGATCCCTGTGCAGAAGGTGCTAAGGAGAAGTGTTCAGACAGTCTGGGAGCTACTCAGATTAAGCTGCTCAACCTCTTGCCACACTGCCCTTTGGGTCCTTTGTCTTGGTCTATTTCTGAACTCCTCTCTGTACCAAGGTTTGCTAACAGGCCTGGTATTGAGGATAAGGCCACCTGAACTCTGCTTAGCAAAGGCAGAATAGAAAGAAAAACAGGGTCACACTGAGCCTCTCAACCCAAGCCCTAACAGTTCTCCTTTGCATCTGACCACAGAGAGCCAGTGGTGGGTTCTCTGTTCTTGGGAAAAAAAAGGCGCCAGCCTTCAGTCACTGCTTAAATTGGGCAGTGTTTTGAGAACCTGAGACGGAGCAGTTTCAAAAGTGGCAGCTCCTTTGTGGGCCTGCTTCCGCTTGGGTCCATCTTCAGGTCTGGTGGGGGAGGAGCAGTGGGGATGCTTGTAGATTAAGAGGCTGTTAAGGAGGAGAGAGGGTGCCAGGAAGTCAGAAGCCATTGGTTCCAGGGACTAGAGCGGGCTTAATATAGGGAAGAAGTGGGGGTGGGGAGGGTGGGAGAGAGGAAGGAAGGAGAAGGAAAGTGCTAGAGTCCTCTTGGGTATCCAATGGGACAAATATTAAGGAAGGCCAAGGATGGGGACTGGCTCAGTTCCTCAGCAGGTAGGCCCAACTGGATGGAGGGACTGTCTTAGAGGAGACAGGGAGAAAGGATGCTTTGAGGTAGGGTCAGGGGCTGGGTGGGAACAGAGTGAAGGACTGGGTTTTAGCTAAAGACAAATTTGAGTGGTAGTTAGAGGAAGCCAACAAAAGAAGTGGTCTAAGCCTGGTTAAAAAGTAGAGGCACCAAGGTGCCAGGTCTGAAGAGCTGGCTGGAACTGGTTCCAGAAAGTAAAGCAATAGTCTAGATGCTAAAATGGAGCTATTTCCTGGGTTCATTTTTTTCATGGCAGGGGCTAGGGCCTGATAGGAGAGCTTCATGTAAGTGCCCACATGATATGATTTCAGTGAGACAGGAGACAGAGCCTAGATATGGGTCTGGATGCTAGAATTAGCCCTGGGGTGGGTAAGGCAGGGCTCCTGATAGAGGGATGACTAGAGATGATACCACTCAATTCTCAGGAACATTACTCATTAGGTACAGATTGGGGTTGACCCAGAATCCTGGATGGGGTGACTGTTCCAGCTGGGATGAGTATATGTTGCTGCTGACCAGCGACAGCAGAAGGTGGGGCTGGGCCCAGAGCGAACAATCAGCGCCAGAGCGGCGGTGTGAGGGTCGGCTGACCATGGCTGCCGCATGATGCAGACAGAGAGGGATGTGTCAGGATATAAGCAGGGGGAGAAATCAGCTCCCCTCTGAGGAAGGTTGGGTAGAGGGTCGGTGCCCAGATCCGAGGACGCCGCCAAAGGCCAGCCCCGGAATGTGGGCGCGGGTGGAGGGGACGGTGGTGATAAACCCTAGGGCCGGTTAGTGACCCCGGCGAGGAGTTCCTCCAAGAAAGGGTCGGATGGGAAGGGTCCATGCCAGCCCTGAGGGTGGGAAGGCCCGGATTAGCTGCCGAACCTACCTTGCCGCGGGCACAGCGCACCGAGCGCAGGGCGCCGAAGAAGATGGGCAGCAGCGCCATGAGCAGGAGGCTGCCGTAGGCCAGCGCGATGCCCTCGGGCGTGGAGGGCGGCCGCGCCGTGCCGTTGGCCGGGCCGCCTGACTCGGCGCTGCCGTTGTGCGGGTCGCTGAGGGCCGAGTCCATGGCGAGGCTGCGCTCGGGCTCTCACTCCAGCTCCGGCCGCTGCAGCAGGAACGCACACGGAGGGACGGGCGCTGCGGGGAAAGCCACGTTCCCCTAAAGAAACAGGAAGTGACGTGCCCCCTCGTCGTTCGGCGCCGCGCGCGCGCCCCGACGCCCACGCGCGCGCGCCCTCGTCTCCCCGCCCGCTTGCCCTCTAGCGGCGGCGGCCGGCGCAGGGGCCGGTTGCTGAGCAACCTGCTGGCGGCGGGGAAGGGAACGCTGGACCACTGCAGTCCTCGTCCATCCTGAGAGAGACCTGAGCACTCATTTCCTAGTTCCAGTGGATTTCTTCAATCCCACACTGTTCTGTTCTCAACAAACCTTAGTCTCCAACTAAAAAACTTGTTTATTTATGTGTGCATGCATCCAATATTCCGTTGTTTATTCATTTCTTAATTATTTATTGGGTCCTACGAAATGGCTAGGATCTGGAGACACTGATGGGAACAATACAGGCAAAAGCTCGTCCATATTATCATGAATCTTGCATTTTAGTGAAGTGTGTGTGTGTGTGGGGGGGTTAGGAAGAGAAGAAGTGAAATAAATAAAATAGAAATTCTGAAATATAACCTTTGAAGATGGAGCTGGGTGAGGCCCACGCCTGTAATCCCAGCGGTTTGGGAGGCTGAGGTAGGAGGATTTGCGAGTTCAAAGTCAGCCTCAGTAACCTAGCGGCACCCTGTCTCTAAATAAAATATAAAAAGGTGCTGTGGATGGGGCTTGGTGGTTAAGACCCTCTGGGTTCAATACCTGGTACCAAGTAAATAAATAAACAAAGATGCCGTGTATAATTATGTACGGTAGCATGTAAATGCAGATAAATAATCTGGAGAAAAATAAAGTAAAAATGAGAGTGGGTAGGGCTTTCCAATGTATTAAGTACCTACCATGTGCTAGGAAATAATAATCCCTTTATAGTTTATAAGCCTATATAGTTTCAAGCATCATGGCTCTTATCACAATTAGAAGAAATTACTTAAGTTATTTTTAATAGTGGTTCTTAAAATAGAAAATATATGCACAAAGTGAAAATTCAAAAGTACACAAAGATAAGAAAGACTCCTTCCCTTTTTTAGGTTTCTGCCTTACCTTCCTGAAGGCAATCGGCCTTAATAGTCTCTTGTGTATCATTCTAGAACCTTCCTGTGCATTTACAAGCAATTTGCTGATCCTTTTATTTAACAAATCAGTATCGCGTATCTAGCACACAGGTAGTGCTTTGCCTAACTCTAGGAACTGTAGGGCTATTCATGAGATAAACATGGACCTGTGCAGTGAGTAACACAAGGACACCATCTTAGGTTGGTGCTCAAAGGAGATTTGACACCTAAAGGGGAAAGGTGGAGCCGGCCAATGTAAAGATGCGTATGAGGGTCCTCAGGTGAGGAAAGGCGCTATGAGTTAGAGGAACCAAATGATGTTTGGAGGAAAGGGGAAAGAGAGCCAATGGTGACAACAAGGTCAGATTGGCCAGTGTGCATCATGGTGCACTGGGCCTGGTTGACTGGCATGGATTTTATTCTAAGAGAAATGTGAAGATAGTCTAGGGTGTCATGCAAGGAAATTATATATTTTTGGATCTGGAATGTCCCCTAAAGTCTCATGTATTGAAGGCTTAGTTCCCAGTACAGCTAGTTTCCAATATAGGGCTTTGGGAAGTGAGTGGATCCTAGCACTCTGATCCCAACAATGGCTCAATCCACGGGTGGATTTGGAGCTGGATGGCCTATTGGAGGTGGTGAAGACTGTAGGAGGTGGGACCTTATTGAAAGGACTGGTTCCTTGGGGGTAAACTACATCTCCTCCTCTTCTCCCCCATTCTTCCTGGCTACCACGAGGCGAGCAGCTTTCCTCTGCCACACCTGTCTTCGGAGATGTTTCTGCTTCTTCTCATCCCTAAAAGCATTAGAGCCAGCTGATGTGGTTGGAAACACGGAAACTGTGAGTCAAAGTAAACTTGCTCTTCTAAGTTGATTTCCTGAGGGATTTTGTTAGAGTGCTATAAAGCCGACTAGCACAACATCCTTACTTTTATTTGGTAATTATTTAATATCTATTTTCTCTGCTTGATTTTATGCTCCATGGAGGCAGACAGACACCAGGTCTCTAGCATCCATTGATGAATTTCCAGCACCTGAAATCATGCCTGGCTTTAGTGGGCACTTGCTGAATGAATGAACAAACATATAATTTTAATTCTTTTTCTTTTTCTTTTTTGGTACTGGGGGTTGAACTCAGGGGTGCTTTACTGCTGAGCTACATCTTCAGCCCTTTTTAAATGTTTTAATTCTGGGACAGGGTCTCTATAAAGTGCTTGCTAAATTGCCAATTCTGGCTTCAAACTCTTGAGTCTCCTGCCTCAGCCTTCCGAGATTGCAGGCGTGCGCCACCATGCCCGGCTCTTTTGATTTTCAAAACAAATTGACACAAATAGGAAATTCCTGAGGCCTCTGATTATGCTACTGCTGCTCTACCTAAGAGAATGTGGTGAAAGCAGGTGGAGGAAAAACTGGAGAAACCTGCCGCCCGAAGAGACCTGCCACTGGAGAAACCTTGGGCCAAGCAGTGGAGAAGAAAGTTGCCCTCGGGGACCTGACAGCAAGTCAGCCTGGAACTCGGAAGGGAAGATACACTACTTAAAAGGCTCAACACAGTCAGCTGCCAAAGGGAAATATTTACAGAGCTTAGATGGATTATTACCGAGCAGGCAAAAAAGAGGGCACTTAGAACTGAGCCATTAAGTTGAGGCAGTAACTTGATAATCAGTACAGATGGTGTAAAATCCAGTGGCCTAAACCAGGCCGGCAAGGCAGCATGCGTCAGGCACCATAGCAGTAATTTTATGCATCTTCATCTGTAGGAGATGATTGGTCCCAACTTATAGATGAGAAAACTGAGCGTTGGAGAGGCAAAGTTGCCTGCCCAGGTCACAAAATCAGCAAAGGAGGAGCAGAACCTTGAACAGGTCTGTAGGCCTCCAAGCCTCTGCTTTTTCCAACATTCCAGCTACACAGAGGCTAAGGAGTTTGGACCCAAGAGAGTAATGCTGATCTGGGCCGGGTGGTGTGGTTTCAGTTTTGCGATAAGATGGACATGGCTTGAATAGAAGAGTGGAAGGCAGTCTGTCTTGTGCATTCATATGTTATGGTTTGTTTCTGAAATATCCTCCCACCAAAATTCATGTTTTGAAGCTTGGTCTCAGGGCAGCAGTGTTTAGAGTTGGTACCTTGGGGAGTGATTGGATCATGAGAGTTCTAACCTCATCAATGCATTCATCCATTGATGAATTCATAGCTTACCAGGCTACCTGGATGGAGGTGGCAGACAAGTTAGGAAGTGCGTCCAACAGGAGGAAGTAGGTCCCTGAGGATGGGCCCTGGAAGGGGATATTTTGTCCCTCTCTTCCCTCTCGCTGTGTTTTGACCTCCATGAAGTAAGCAGCTTTGCTTTCCCTGCCATGACGTCGTGCACCATAGCAGTAACTTTATGCATCTTCATCTGTAGGAGATGATTGGTCTCTCACCACAGGCTCAGAAACAATGGAGCCCAAATGACCATGGATTGAAACCTCTGAGACCACGAGCCAAAGTAAATCTTTCCTTCTCTAAGTTGATTTTATCTGAGTTCTTTTTTGTTGTTGTTGTTGTTGTTGTTGTTACAGTGATGGAAAACTGACCAGCACATTCAGTAATTCAGGCCATAGAATCTGCCCAGGAGTCAGACTCAAGAGTCTTCTCATCCGAGAGCAGAGGATTAAAAGTTGGAGACGCTTCTGCTTCCTGCTGGGCTGCGCCCTTAATTTGGTTTGGCCTGGAGCAGATCTGGCACCTCTCCTTACACTTCAGGGCAGGAGACTGTGCACATGACCCGGGGAATCAAGGAGTTGACATGGGTTCAGAAAGCTGCCGTGGAGGCTTCTGTGTGGAGGGCTGGGTTGCTGGCTTGGAGCCCACTTGTCTTGATATTCCCTGGAGATGGGAAGGAGGCAGTCGGAGCGTGGGTGCTCTAAGGTGAAGTCTCCACATGGGGTTACTTTCTTGGAAGAAATCTGAGCTGAGGTCAAGAATGAAACCTGTTAAGGTCTGGGATAGCTAAAGTACCAAACATTGTTCCAAAGAAAGACCCAGCTTCCATTTTCCCACTTATTGCTGTGGCCAGTACCATGGATGGATATCAGACTTTCCATTTTTTCCCTCATATACATTCACTCACACACACACACACACAC